AGAGTTCTCACTTTCTGGTGGTTGTATTAGCACTGTCTGCCCTTTGATATGCTGTTCTGCCAGTCACAGTGTCAGCAGTCTCGTGTGGGTGTCTGGACAGATACCCAGTTACAGAGATAAACACATGAAGCCTCCAGGTTGGCAGAGAAAAGCAAACATGACTAGGGTTCCCCAGATTGGGAAGGGCAGGTGGGAGTGGCAGAGCCTAAACAGGGCAATACACTGTTGTCCTCATCATCACTGAGGCATGGGTCCTGCACACTTCCTTGTTATGAGTGACAGCTCCCGAGTGTCTGAGTTCAGTGAGGGAGCCTTTAGAGAGCAAGCAGGGCAAGGTGATGGGGTTTGGGGCCGGGTGTGGGGAATGGAGGAGGCAGGAGCTGGCTGGTGTCAGGCGTATTGGGGGTTTGGTCTCTGCCACTCTCTTCGTGGATCCAGCCACTCAGCAGCAAGGACTCATGCGGGGAGATGGGTCCTTGGTGAGAGCCCCTGTTTAACCCCAAGAACTGCAGTTTCCCCAGCTGAAACAAGGAAAAGGAGTCTTTCTTTTGCCTTGTTGGGGGCAGGGTGAAGGGAACATGAACAGTTTGTCTCAGGGAGGCCCCCCCTCCACTTATTTCTCAGGTTTTGAGTTGACTGAGGGATAGATCTTTACTGGAGAAGTACTTGCATTGCTCCTGGGAGGCCTGGGCTGTAAGCAGCCTTTGGCTAGCAGGCTGCCTTGCTTTTTATTGGGAGCTTTTGGTGGTTTCAGTATGGGTTTGAAGCACATGGTGTTTAGTATGGCTGCATCTTTTCCCAGCTCACAGGCTGTCACTTACTAGTGGAGGTGTTGGGAAAACGTAGTTTCTTTACACACCTCTTGGTCCCACATTGTTCAAGGAGGGGACGCTGTTTTCTTGAATTAAAGGTCAGTTCACCTATTTCACATATCTCCTTGGTGTACCCTCCTCCAACCGGGTTAGGGCACAGCCCTGAAAGTAAGCAGGCAAAGGCCTCAGAGAGCGAGTCCTGGTCTCCCAAGGCTCGGGCATTTGTCTCCTGAATGTATACATGAAATGGCTGCTAAGAGCCAGGCACCAGGTTAATGTAAGGCAGGACTTCAAGCTGTCAGGGATGTGTGTGGTGGGAGAGCTGCGGGCTTTTCCTACAGGCTTGTTCTACAGGGCTGCCTGCTTCATAGAGAGTTCTAACACAATTTAGTTGTATTTGCTTTTCTAGCCCACAGGCAATTAGCAGTAGTAAATAGAGGGTATGTTGGGAGAACTGGTGACTAGATGCAGAAATGACAGTAGCCAGGAATGGAGGAGGAAGACAAAGAACCACACAGAGGAGATGCCAAAGTTATAATTATAATCTGGACTGCTGCTTGTTGCAAGACCGGGACACATTGAATTTGGGTAGCCCCTGGGGATGTCATTACCTAGCACAGGCCAGTAATGGCTGTTCCTGGCCATGACTCCCAGTCATCCCAGAGGAAACGGATGGCTGCTGTTACTTAATGCAGGACTAGCAGTAAGTGGTTCTCTTTTCTTCATTAGGTCTTTTTTTCATTTCCAAAGTTGGCATCAGTTTTAGGATACACCTCTACCATTTGAATGGCCCTAGGGAGCAGGTTTAACCTCTCAGTTAAGGTGCCTTTATCCCATATAGAGAGATTCTATTCAGTTTCCTGATGTGGGTTGGGGCAGGGGCAGCAGGTAAGGACTTGGGTGGTTGGGGTCCTGCCCACCCGCACAGGAAAGTTCTCAGCCCTAAGCACTGCAGACATTTGGGAAGTAAACCAGCGCTCAGAAGCTCTCCCTCCATCTCTCTGCCCCTCAGATTAAGGAATAAGAATTTTTCTGTTTTGTTCTGTTTTTGTTTCTACATTGGCCCTCAGACTATGAATGTAACTGACCATCCATCACACCAAGCTGTTCTGGAAAGACATGAGTTGTGGTGAATGTATTATTTATTTTATGGGTCACCGCTGCCCAGGATCAAGTATCAGACTTTTCTAGAGTAAATACCTTTGGTTTGTGGGTCATGTGGAATCCATCACGGCTGCTTACTTCTTGCTTTGTAGTTCAAAAGCAGCCAGAGACAGTATATAATCGAATGTTGTGGCTGTGGGCCATTAACACATGATTGGTTTAGAGCTTAGTGATTGTGGGAATCTAGGTGGAAAACACACAACCTTTGGCTCTAGAATGTCTGGACCTTTCTGGACTCATTCTAACTTTTCGTAACTATGCTATCTTCAATCCAGATGCTTTTGTTTGGTGGTGAGGGCAGTACAGAAAGAAAGGACCTGACCTTGCCGTCAGAGCCATGCCATTCAGGAAATCACTCGTAGCCTCTCCTCTCCTTGCCTATCTTCCCCTTCACTTCTCTCTTTTACCCTGCTCTCCTCCCCTCCCCCTGTCCTCCCTCTCTCTTCTCTCCTCTCCTCCCTTCTTTTCCTCTTTCTTTTTTTTTTAAGATGTCCTTTTTTTATTGGAAAAGTAGATTTATAGAGAGACGATCTTCCATCTATTGTTTCACTTCCCAAATGGCTACAACAGCTGTACTGAGCTGATCTGAAGCCAGGAGCCTTTGCCAGATCTCCTATGCAGGTGCAGAGTCTTGAGGCTTTGGGCCATCCCGCACTTTTTTTTCCCCTCAGGTCACAAGCAGGGAGCTGGATTGGAAGTGGAAGTGGAACTGTTGGGACACAAACTGGTGCCAATATGGGATGCTAGCACTTGCAGGCAGATGATTAGCCAGTTGAGCCATTGTGCCAGCCCCTAGCCTTCTCATTTTCTGAGAAACCCGGTTGGTGATGCAGTGAACCAGCAAAGATGAAAACAGAGCAGGGCAGTCTGTGCTCCCTGTGTCTGTCATACATGTGGATAGGACTTCGGTCATTGCTGCTTAGTTGTGTTGCTGATGACTCCAGAGACTTGGGCACAGCTGTCAGGAACAGTGGGTGTCTTTCCTGGAGAGTCCAAGTGCAGCTGTTGAGGTCTGCTGTGTGTGACAGCCTCCCTTGTTTGCACAAGCACCTCCACCAGCTCTCTCGACTTTGACACCTCCAGCCCTGGGAGCTGGAATATGGGTGTTCTACAGGTGAGAAAACAAAGGCTGGTGAAATTGCATGGCCAGGTGCTGGGAATACTTGACACTAATTGTCCAATACATTCCACTCTTGTTCCCTCACCTATAGGGACAGCACAGCTCAAAGTTGTCTTGTCCCCAGAAAAGAATCATATTGGCCAGTCGGGCTAAAACATTTGGTTTGTTTCAAGAACTGTACCTGTCCTAGTGACTGTGTTGTGTTGCCTTTATTGGTTACTAGTGCACTTCATGCTACAGCTTTATGCTAGTCCTCAGCCATCACTGTTTTCTCATATACTTTCCTGTTAACCCCAAGCAGCCTCAACAGCAACCTATGGGTTTGACCTTGGTGTAGAGGCAGGCATGTTATTGGTGACAAATTTCCCAGAGAAGTTGGTACACATGTGTCTCCCCTTTCCCTGTCCTTTAAGTGAAAGCTTGAGCAGATCCATTGAAGCCCAGTCGGCCTAGATCACCAATAACCCAGAGGCCTGAGTTCTAGTCGTGCACCTGCAATGAGATGTGTCTGCTGCTTCTGCTCCAGCCTGCCCAGGCATTTGGGTTTCCATCCTTGTCAGGTGAATCTTTAGGGCCAGATGGTCCTGTTGGCACTAAGGGGCAGAGAAGAAAACTCTGTGTTTTTTTTTTTTAAGATTTATTTTTGTAGGAAAGGCACATTTTCAGAGGAGAGACAAAGATCTTCCATCTGCTGGTTTACTCCCCAGCTGCAAATCCACCTGGGGATAAGATAGCTTTGAGCTCTGCTGTTACTATAGGTGATAGAGCACATGGCTGCAATCTGAGCTGATCTGAAGCCAGGATCCTCTTCTGGGTCTCCCGCATAGGTACAGGGTACCAAGGCGTTTGGCCATCCTCCACTGTTTTCGCAGGCCACAGACTGGAAGCTGGATAGGAAGTGGAGCAGCTAGGACAAGAACTGGCCCCCATTTGGGATGCTGGCACTTGGAATAGATGATTAGCCAATTGCAGCCAATATGCTAATGTGACCCTAGAAGGTCAGAGAGCACAGGATTACTGTTGATTGGGCAATATTTGCATGATAAACAACTGAATGGGTGCCTTTTGTGTGACTGAGTAGATATCCTTTGCAAGAGAACAACCTAATGACTACCTTTTGTACACCTGATGGGATATTATTTGTATAAGAACAGTTGAGTGGGGCCGGGGGCGTGGCGCAAGTGGTTAGGGTTCTCGCCTTGCACGCCCGGGATCCCATATGGGCACCGGTTCTATCCCGGCAGCCCTGCTTCCCTTCCAGCTCCCTACCTGTGGCCCGGGAAAGCAGTCGAGGATGGCCCAAAGCTTTGGGACCCTGCAACCGCATGGGAGGCCCGGAAGAGGCTCCTGGCTTCGGATCGGCATAGCATCAGCCATTGCGCTCACTTGGGGAGTGAATCGTCTTCCTCTCTGTCTCTCCTCTCTGTATATCTGCCTTTCCAATAATAATAATAATAATAATAATAATAATAAATCTTTAAAAAAAAAGAACAGTTGAGTGGAAAGTATGTGCATGAGAACACTTGGTGGAATAAACAAGACAAAAGGCGTTCCAAACAAAAGCAGAGAAACAGTTGATGGGTTTGTTGATGAGCTAAATACCTCCACCCTAATCCTATACTACCCTCAGTGTATAAAGTCTGTTGCCCCTAATAAATTTCGGCAATTGATCATCAGTCAGTAGCCTATGCATGTTATTATTGGCTCCATGCACCAAGTCCATCGCTGCAAGAACCCGACATGCCAATTCTAAGACAACTCACATGTTGAGTAAAAGGGGCGTGCAGGCAGCCCTCAGCAAGGAGTTTGCACTGTATACTTGTGGTTCACTTTGGAAAGATGGTTTGTCTGTCTGCTAGCTGATAAGACAATTCCAAGTTCCTGCATCCTTTCCTGTGTTTCAGATGCCAGTATGGACAGAATAACTTATGATGCTCAACCCCGCCCACCACTTCCGAGACATTGAACGAAAACCTGTATACCTCCAGCCAGAGAAGTGCATCCCACCTCCCTACCCTGGTCCTGTGGGAACCATGTGGTTTATCCGCGACGGCTGTGGCATTGCCTGTGCCATTGTCACCTGGTTTCTGGTCCTCTACGCGGAGTTCGTGGTCCTCTTTGTCATGCTGCTTCCATCCAGAGACTACGTGTACAGCATCATCAATGGGATCCTTTTCAACGTGCTGGCCTTCTTGGCCCTGGCTTCCCACTGCCGGGCCATGCTGACGGACCCCGTGAGTATGTCTGGGCTCGTTTTGACTAGCCCACACTCTTCCTCCTCTGGCCCTGGTGTGGGCATACCCTGCATGTACCCCTTGGACCATGGGAATGTGGAAATCAGGAGGGTCAGGGTTGGGTGGGAGTGAGGGGAAGAAGGTGGGACCATCTCCCTTGTTCACAATTCTATAGAAATCCACCTACAGAAGAGCCCAGCATCAGCACCACACCTGTCTGTCTTGGGTGAATATACTGTCAGTACCGTAGAAGGATCTTGGCCGGAAAGATGCAGTTGAATTGGCCTTGTACTCTGGAACAAGGTGACAACAGCTGAGCTGTACTGAGAGCTGGATAAGGATGATGCTTCCAGGACTAGAGCCAGGCAGATCTGAGAGGAAAGCCACATCAAGTTCCAGGAACTGACACAAAAATGGCTTAGATGAGGTACATTTTTGCCTCAGACACTAGGCCAGCCCGCATGGGCCACAGCAGCAGCCTCTTGATGAATACCTGTGGCAAAGTGGTAGTGTTCTGTGTGATGACCAGCTGAATATACCAGGCCACATAGTGGCTCTTGGAGGTTTTGTCCCCTGGTATTAAAACACCCCATCCTATTCATCACCATCTTGTGTGCCAAAAGGCAAGAGGCTGCAGTGTTTGAAAAATGCCTTTTGTGGCTTCACATTTCGGCTCCTGGGAGGTGTGTTTAAATCAGGCAAAGAAAAGCACTGCTGGTAGCTGTGGTCCTGGCCACACAGGCTTCACTTCTGTGAGCCCCAAGGAAAGCACAGTGAAGAGGGTGGTCTGGGGCTAGCTCCCTTCTCATTTCCTGCTGTCTCAGGTGACTGCATCTCAAGGGAGGCAGCTTTCCCAGGCCCGTTGGATGTGACAGAGCCAGTGGCCTGTTCATAAGCGTGTGTCTCACTGAGATGGCGCATGTGGACAGGCAGGGGCCTGCTGGCCTGACAGGCACACCCAGCAGGCCCCGCCTGAGGAAAACAAGTACGTGGGTCTGATTGTAAATACTCCCACACATGAAAGGCCAAAAGAGTTGGGCCCAACGTGGTGGCCTAGTGGCTAAAAGAGTTTACAGTTGCAACAACTTGGTCATACTGAAAGCAAGTTAAGTATTTATTCAGAAGTTTTTATGATGTTCTTGGTGCTGGGGTACAGTAATAAAAAATGCCCTTTTGTTCAGGTTTTACTTGTGGTTCCTCATCTTCTAAACCCAGCAGGGAGCCTCTTGGTCAAGGAGACAGGGTAGGCTCCTGTGATAAAGGCTGTAGCAGAAGAAAGGATGGATCCTGGCGTGATTTCATCTTAATACTATTTTTCTCTTTAAAAGAGATTTATTGAGCCCGGCACAAAAGCCTAGTGGCTAAAGTCCTTGCGTTGTACACACTGGGATCCCATATGGTTGCTGGTTTTAGTCCTGGCAGTCGAGGATGACCCAAAGTCTTGGGACCCTGCTCCCGCGTGGGAGACCCTGAAGGAGTTCCTGGCTCCTGGTTTCTGGTTGGCTCAGCTCTGGCCATTGTGGCTGCTTGGGGAATGAACCATCAGACAGAAGATCTTCCTTTCTGTTTCTCCTCCTCTCTGTATATCTGCCTTTCCAATAAGAAGTAAGTCTTTTTTTAAAGGGAGATTTATTTTACTTGAAAGAGATTTTCTATCCACTGATTTACCTCCCAAATGACTGCAATCACCAAAACTGGACTGGTCCAGAGCTAGAAGCAAGAAGCTTCTTCCAGGTCTCACAAGCTCAAGGTCAATGAGCTCAAGGCCCAGAACCTTCCTCGCTGCTTTCCCAGGCGTAAATAGCGATCTGGATTTGAAGCAGGATGTGAATTGGCACCAGTTTGGTTGCCATCCCCAGCATGCTTGATTGTTGTTGAGATGGCCCTTGAAAACTGCTGGTTTCTTCAGCCCTGCTCCCACTGTTTTCCTTGGTGTCCTTCTCACGCAGTTACGCTATCCTAGATACTGATTAGAGCACGAGCTGTGACCCTGGATGTGTTTCAGTGTTAGTGGGTGATGGCATTGTTGGCAAGAGAATGGTGTTCCATTGAGGCAACTGTAACAAAAGCCTTTCGTGGGCCTGGTATGGTAGCCTGTTGGCTAAATCCTCGCCTGAACATGTTGGATCCTATACAGGCACCAATCCATGTCCCGGCTGCTCCACTTCCCTTCCAGCTCCCTGCCTGTGGCTTCGGAAAGCAGTCAAGGACGGCCCAAAGCCTTGGGACCCTGCACCTGCGTGAGAGTCCTAGAAGTTCCTGGTTTCGAATTGGCTAAGCTGCAGCCATTCTGGCTACTTGGGGATTGAACCAGCAGATGGGAGCTCTTCCTCTCTTCACTCTGTAATTCTGACTTTCCAATAAAAGTAAATATTAAAAAAAAAAAAAACCACCTTTTTCCAAGTCACACACCAGTAATACCTGGTAAATGTGCCTCTGTGTAAAGGGACGGGTTGTTGAGTCAGGTTGCCCAGGTCTAAATGTTGCTCTGCTGCCTCTTGGCAGCGTCACCTTGGGAAGTTGTGGGACATCTCTGCATTGCTTACTTGAGATAAGAAGGGAGGACAGCATAGTGTCTACCTCCTGGGCTCATGGTCAGAATTAGCTGACAGAACAGGGTTCTATCAGCATGTGAAACCCTGCTAGCATAGAAGCACTGTGTAAACGTCTGTCCCACTGTTGTTCCTCAGTCAGGATTTAATAGATGCAGGCTACTTGCCAGACCCTGGGTGGTTTGCTGGGCCTGGAATGGAGAGATGCTGTGCCTCTCCTTTGGGTGGGTGGGGTGTGTTTCCCTGCGTGTTAGCCTGCGAACTGATTAGGAATTTGTCTGGCTTGGCTTGGGGCATCACGAAAGGGGCAGAGAAGGTGATCCTTGGGTCTGAGGAGGGGCTGGTGTAGGTGCAAGAAGCAAGGCCTGGCATGGTAGCCTAGTGGCTAAGGTCCTCGCCTTGCATGCACCAGGATCCCATATGGCATGTCCCAACAACCTCACTTTCCATCCAGCTCCTTATTTGTGGCCTGGGAAAGCAGTCTAGCACAGCCTAAGGCTTTGAGACCCTGTACCCATGTGGGAGACCTGGAAGAAGTTCCTAGCTCCTGGCTTCAGATCAGACAGCTCTGGCCCTTGAGGCCTCTTGGGGAGAGAATCAGCAAATGGAAGATCTTCCTCCCTCTCTCTCCCCTCCTCTCCATATATTCTGCCTTTCCAATAAAAATAAATGCTAAAGAAAAAAAGAAGCAAGGAGGTGCCTGGCCAGCTGAAGGGCTAGAGGACTTGGGTGCTACCAGTAAGGAGTTGGAGGGCAGAAGAGGAAAAGTCAGAGGGCACGGTGCCTTTGGGGAACTGCACGGCGTCCGCAGGGTGAGGCTGGGAGGGAGGGAGGCGCATGGTCTGATTGGACCCAGGGCAGGTTGGGTAACAATCATCCCTAGGGAGCATTACAGACTTTTAGGAATAATGTGATCAGACTCACACTGAGAGAAAGTTTATGCTGGAGAGGAGTCAAGAGGAAGGGCAGAAGTGAGGCTGCGGATGTGAGGAAGAGCCTGTAGGCCTGGAAGTAGGCTGTGACAGTGGTGTGGAGGGCGGGGCATTCATAGCTTCAAGCAGAATCAGCCTGACGGAGTAGTCCGGCAGGGCTGGGGAATACAGGGTTAGAAGGATCCAAGATGGGTTTCTTACCTGAATAACAAGCCAGGTGGATGTGCCATGGGCCAGAGAAGGGTAGTGGGTGGAGGGTTGGCTGTGCACAGGGAATTCTGGAGTTTGATTTTATTTTGTTTCAATGCCTTTGTTCAAGCGAATAGAGACCCCTGCAGATGCAAAAGAGGTCCACGCTGGAGTAAGATTCAACTCTGTAACAGAAGTTGGGGATTGCAGGCAAAATGGTTCAGGGGCGAATGCAGAGTGGGCAGGAAGAAGGTCCCTGAGGAACCCTAATGTCCAGGACAGGCAGGATCATGAAATCCAGGGAGAGAGATGGCCCACACTCGGGGAGGAAAGGCTAGTGGGCAATGAGGAGACCCTGAGGATGCTGAGGGCCAAGAATTGATCTTTGGGTTTGGCCACCGGACATTGTGCAGTGACATGGTCAGAGGAATTCTTGGTGTTGAGGGAATGGGTGCCCGTGCACAACAGGCTGAACAGTAAGGGGATGACTTAGCAGGGAAGGTGGACAAAGGTGCAGTCTGCTGAGAGCATGACGAGAGAGCCTGGAGAGATTGGAGTCCCTGGGAGCCAGGACTAGCTGGACCCCTCGTCCTCCAAGTCAGTGGGTCCTGCTGGTCTGGGGAGGAATAAGGGGTTCGCAAGAACTTAGCAACAGTCGCAGTTTTCTCTGAAATCAAAAAGGAAATGTGTAGGGGAAGGAGGTAGCGGGAGCTTGGGCTAGCCACTAGAGGAATGGTGAGTGCAGGCACTCCAGGCCCCTCCACAGCACTCACAGGTGTACATGCACACATGTGCGCAAACAGCACGTGGCTGCACTCCATCCCACTGAGGGCAGAGTGAGGTACAGGGCAACATCCGGGACAGGAGAACCTCAACAATTGCTCTGAAGCCAGGGTTTTTTTTTTTTTTGGCCCCTGAAGCCAGTTTTAAACCGATCCTCTTGAGGTTAACTAGGTAACTTAGATGAAGGTGAGCATTTTCATGGATCTATGCATTTTAAGGTTTTTTTGTTTTATTTTGGTTTTTTTTAAGTTGTATACAGAAAGAAAAGGCAGGAAGAACACACTCAGCATGTTAGTAGCATATATCCTAGGTAATCCAGTCAGAGGGTGGATTTTTCCTTCTCATACATATTTCCTTTGTTTTTTGCTTTTAAGATTTAATTTTGCAGATTTTATGGAGAGACAGAAAGATCTTCCATCTGCTGGTTCACTCTCCATATGGGTGCAGTGAGCCCAAGCTGAGCCTATTTGAAGCCAGGAGCTTCCGGGTCTTCCAGACAGGTGCAGGATCCCAAGGCCTTGGGCTGTCCTTGACTGCTTTCCCTGGGCATGAGCAGGGAGCTGGATGGGGAACAGGGGTGCCAGGACACGAACCAGTGCCCATATGGGATCCTGGCACTTGGCAGACTAAGGATTAGCCAATTGAGCCACTGTGCTGGCCTTGTATGTTTCCTTTTTCATACCACAAGTATGCCTTCCCTTGGGAGGGAGAAAGGGAAAATGAACTCCACCTGCAAGGTCGTCCTCATGTGAAAGCTTCAAGGCATCCCTGAGGGTGGGGCTGGGAGCAGGTGTTTCTCAGTGATGCAGATGGGACATCAGTGGCAGGAGTGTCCCAGCAGGTCTTCCACCTCCCTGCTGTGTATCCAGGATTGTACAGTACAAGATTAGTCACCACTTCCACAGGTCTGGAGTCTGGAGATTCACCTGAAAGAACACACTCTTTAAAAACAAAGTGGAGGGAGGCAGGGAGGAAAGGAGAGAAAGAAGTTAGGAAAGCAAGAGGTGTCCCCAGGAGAGCTCAGGAGGTGCAGCAGCCTGGATAGGGATGAACCTCTCCAGGGCTGGCGCAGGTGCAGGCAGGTGCAGGCAGGTGCAAGCTTGCCTGAATGGGGATGAACCTTTTGGGAGATTGATGCACATGGAGTCGTGCTGTTAGGAAGCCCAAGCTGCCTTGCTGTTTCTAGTCTTAGTCTAGGAGAACAGATGAGGGGTTACCATTGTGGCACGGTGGATTAAGTTGCTGCTTGCCATTCTGGCAGCCCATATTGAACACAGGCTTGAGCCCTAAATCAAATTTCCGATCTGGGTCTCTGTAAGCCTGAGAAGGCCGTGGAAGATGGCCCAGGTACTGGTCCCCTGCCACTCACATGAGAGACCCAGTTGGTGTTCCAGGCTGCTGGCTTCAGGCTGAACCAGCCCTGCTCCAACAGTTGTGGCCATTTAGGGAGTGAACTAGCAGATGAAAGAGCTCTTCTCTCTGTCCTTTCTGTGACTGTGTCTTTCAAGGAAGTAAAAATAAATCTTTATTTAAACAATAGAGAATCCCAGGCAAAAGTGAGAGTATGAGCAGGAGCTCTGACTGCCCGTTCTTGCTGCAGTGTCTGGGACGTGCTTATGATCTGGGCCTCAAGAAAGCTGCTACGTGAAGCAAGCCGCCTGGGTCTTGGCTTAGGAAAGCACAGCTCCGTCACTTGGTCTCTTTGAGCAATGTCCCTTTGCACTTTTCCTCTTATGCATGTGACAGTGGTGTCTTGGCAGGTTTTTATGGATTCAGGATCCACAAAAAGTCACACAGTGTGGAAATTTGGTTGCCTTTTTACACATGTGATGGAAAGATGAGGCTTTTAGGGGACCCTGCTTCTTGGCCTGCCTCTACAAGGTCTTCCAAACCCCAACTCGTTTCTCAGGATGGTCATATTCCTATTTTAGGTGATTGCTTCTTGGGATTTATTGGGTTTTACTGTTTTTTTAATGAGTCTTTTTGATATTGCAAAAGCCATATGTTGATAATAGAATATTTCAGATAGTCAAAAAATAAAATGTGTCTTCAGTCCTCTTAGGTAACTGATGCTACTGTTAGCATGTAGCTTGCCTGTTACCCTATGCAAGTTTGCATGTGTGTAATCTGTAATTGGTGTTTCTTGTTTCACTTTCTATGGTATATGTAGTGTCTTATGTAGAATAATATTCTCAGTGGTGTTTTACATATCATATGATTCTTGCCCACCAAGTTTTATTTGCTTTTAAAATTTCTGTCATGTGTTTTTCTGACATGAGTGCTTTTTACAGAATAACTTTGTACTGTTTTGAACTTTAAAAAAAAAGTTTAAGATTTATTTATTTGAAAGGCAGAGGGAGGGCATGGCATGATAGCATAGTGGTTAAAGTCCTCGCCTTACATGCCTGGGATCCTGTATGGGTGCCAGTTCTAATCCCGGTGGCCCTGCTTCCAATCCAGCTCCCTGCTTGTTGCCTGAGAAAGCAGTCAAGGATGGTGCGAAGATTTGGGATCCTGCACCCGCTTGGGAGACTCAGAAGAAGCTCCTGGCTCCTGGTTTCAGATTGGCTCAGCTCCAGCCGTTGCAGCCGCTTGGGGAGTGAATCATCGGACGGAAGATCTTCCTCTCTCTCCTCCTCTCTATACATCTGCCTTTCCAATAAAAATAAAATAAATCTTTGAAAAAAAAAGGCAGACACACACACGGATCTTTTCTCTGGCTCACTCCCTGAACGGTTGCATGTGCTGGCCTGAGCCAGGCTGAAGTTGGGAGCCAGGAATGGCACCCTGGTCATCCTCTGGGTGGCAGGGACCCAAGAACTCAAGCCACCTTCTGCTACCTGCCCAGGTGCATTAGCAAGAATCTGGGGCAGGAGCACAACATCTGGGACTCAGGTCAGGACAGGATGCTACAGTTGCACGCAGCAGCTTAACATGCTGTACTGTTGACAACAGACTGAATGGATAACTCCAACAACAGTTGAGACCCTTGAGAGAGTGTAAGGGATGGAGAGGTCAACATCCCACCTCACCACCTCCTTCCTGCTTAGCATGCAGTGAGCTCCTCCTGGCGACCCCAGGACCCCCACCTCGAGTCCTCCTTCCTCCCCCTTAGCTCCTGAGCACTGATGACCCTGCCTGTCAGGTGCTCAGCTCCAGCGGCCTCCCCACTTTCCTTGTGCTTCCCCGGCGTTTGGCATGGTGGAGGTTTTCGGCCGAGAGCTGCTGTTTTATTGGTCTCTGCAGGTGGAGTCTTCAACCCCTATGAGTCATGTTCCTAGCAAAAGATAAAAACATAGCTTCACTGTGTTCTTGGCATTTAACGATGTCTCTTCAGTGGTTCTTCCCCTTCCGGAACTCCTTTAAAAAATGGCTCAGATAACCAGTCCTCATCCCTTCTTCTACAGCAGACCCTCACTTAACCGATTTGAGTTTTTAACTGTACTGTAGGGAGACCAGGGCTCGTCTGGCCAAAGCACCTGCCTCTCCCCACCCTCCCCTGCCTTCCAGGACTTGGAGGAAGTTCCATGCTCTGCTGTTCTGATAGTGCAGTGACTTCCTTGATCATGGTGCCTTGTGGGAACCCACTGAGAAGTGGAGCCTGGTTATCCTTTAGAGCGCAAGTGGGGGCCGTGCAAAGAGCATGTCGGTTCTGTTGGGGGCTTAGTAGAACACATGGCGTTCCCCAGGATGGTCTCCTTGGTCTCCCTTTCTTATTCTACTGACAGCGCTTTTCACTCGTTAGCGGGAAGCTGTCAGATGCCTTAGCTTGGGCTGTGTGTTCACTGTGCCAGGCCAGGGCTCTGCCTGCACTGACTTTGGGGCTCTTGGATGGAGTTTACGTCTCCTGACTTCAGCCTGGCTCAAGCCACCCTGCTGGAGCCATTGGAATGTGAACCAGAAGATAGAAGTTCTTTCTCTGTCTCTCCTTCTTTCACTGTCACTGTCTTTCAGATAAATTTTCTTTGAAAAAAAAATTACTTGCAAGGAGTTAAAGAAAGGAAGAGAAACAGGTTTTTCCATGTGCTGGCTTGCTCCTCATAATGGCTACAGCGGCCAGGACTGGGCAGTTGGATTCACCAAGAACTGGATGCAAAGTCATATTCCTGGCAGTAGGAGGATCAGACATGGGTCTGTGTAGTGGCATAGCATGCCAATCCTCCACCTGCAGTGCCACTGTCCCACATGGGCACCAGTTCGTGTCCCAGCTGCTCCACTTCTAATCTAGCTCCCAGATGAAGGACTGGAAAAGCAGCAGAGGACGGCTCTAGTCCTTGGGTCCTTACACCTAGTGGGAGACCCAAGGAAATTCCTGGCTCCTGGTTTCAGCTCAGCTGCCTAGCTCCAGCCATCGTAGCCATTTGGGGAATAAACCAGCAGCAAATCTGCTTTCAAATAAGAAATAATAATAATAAACAGAAGTTGACTCAGGGATTTTGTGTGTGTGAGATACTTAGTTATTTGTGATGCAGAGTGAGAGAAAGTGGGGCAGAGGAGATTATGCATTCACTGGTTCACACCCGCATGGCCGCAGCAGCAGGGCTGAACCAGGTGCAGGTCTCCCTGTGGGTGGCAGGGACTCGAAGACTTGAGCTCCATCTGCTGCTTCCTCAGCACATTAGCAGGGGCTCAGCTTGGCACTGCCTTGTGGCATGCAGGTTATCCCAAGCGGCAGCTTAGGATGCTATGTCACAACACCTATATTTTAATTCCAGTTTTAACAGAATCTGTTCAAAGGTAGAGCTGCAAATTTGGATCTGCAAGCTGGATTTGGAAAGCTGGGCTGTTAGAATACTCACCAGTGGCAGGTGGCAAAGGTCAGCACTACTACCAGGAAGTTTAGTGTAAACCAAAAGCAGTCAGTCAGCTCCTGGAAAGCGTGAAGCTCAAAGTGCCTCTAGCAGAAGGAAGCCAGAGCCATCAGAAATGGAGTAATTAGTGCAGAAACTCATCAGGGGGTTAACTTGGCCTGGTGGCATTTTGTCATCGTGATGTCTATTCCTGGCAGCTGACATCATTCTGAACATAGAGGTCACACACACATGCATTTGTGCTGTTAAGGTGGTTAGCCCTGCCGAGGGTGTTGGGGTCGCCGGAAGCAGCAAGCTGACCCTGACGCCATTCCTCTTTCTTTCAGGGGGCCGTGCCCAAAGGAAATGCTACTAAAGAATTTATCGAGAGTTTGCAGCTGAAGCCTGGGCAGGTGGTGTACAAGTGTCCCAAATGCTGCAGCATCAAACCCGACCGAGCCCACCACTGCAGGTACATGCCCTGGGGTTCCCGCCTGCCTCCCCCACAGTGCCAGTTCAACAGTAGGGCTATTAGCTGTCCCCTGGTCCCTTACCCCCACTAGATTGGAAAGGGTGCTTGGTTTGGGCCTGGAATACGGGGGCGAGGAGTTGATCTGCCACCTCTGATGTCGCATCTGGCAGCCCCTGACTGTCTGCCTCTTTGTTTCAATGTATGTGAAAAGGAGGGGACCGGGAAACCAAGCTTAAGATTGTTTGACGACGTCTGGTTGCCGAAGGGGTTGCTGTTGATTGAAGGCCTTCCTCTGACAGGCCTTGGTGGAGAGGGTAACAGGTGTAGAAGCGACCAGCAGAGCCACTTCCTGTCTCCTCTGTGCTCACTCCCCGCTCTGGGTTTGGAGGTTCCTCTGTTGTTTGGAGTCTTCTCCGTGACAGTTCATCTGTTGTTGTTGTTCAGGGACATTTTTGTGTTGAAAGAGCTGTTTAACGTGTTGCGCATTGCATCTTTTGATGAGATACTCCACACCTTCTGTTGGCTTAGATGAGCTGCTTGTCATGTCCCCTGTGTGTGTCTGCCTGTGTTCTCTGCTGGCATCAGCAACTGAGGAGACCCAGTCCTGATGTTTCAAGGTCGGACTACATCGCGCTTTTTTTTTTTTTAAGATTTACTTATTTCTATTGGAAAGTCAGATATACAGAGGGGAGGAGAAACAGAGAGGAAGATCTTCTGTCCATTGATTGACTCCCCAAGTGACCACAATGGCCAGAGCTAAGCCAATCTGAAACCAGGAGCCAGGAGCTTCTTCTGGGTCTCATATGGATGGAGGGCCTCAGACTTTGGGCCATCCTCGACTGCTTTCCCAGGCCACAAGCAGGGAGCTGGATGGGAAGCAGGGCCACCAGAATTGGATTCGGCACCCATATGAGTCCGACACGTGTAAGGTGAGGATGTTGACCGCTAGGCTACCATGCTGGGCCCACATCCCATATGGGAGACATGATTTGAGCCCCAGCTCCTCCATTTCTGATTTAGTTTCCTGCTAATGCGTCTGGAGACAGTAGATGAGGATGTAGTAGCTGGGTTCCAGGACTGGCTTCTGTCCAGCTCAGCCCTTTGCATTGTATCCATCAACGGAGTGAACCAGTAGATGGTAACTGTCTCTGTAACTCTTTCAAATAAGTAAATCTTGGTACATATTAGATACAGAATAAGAGGAAAAGATAGCTGGAGTATTCGCAAAGCTCAGATCTTCTATCCACTGGTTCACTCCCAGAGTGGCTGCAACAGCGGCATTGCTGATCCAAAGCTAGGGGTGGCTTCTGGGTTTCCCACGCAGGTGGACTTCAGCCACTAGGTCTGGGCTGAAACAGCAGAGCAGGAGTTGGGAGCCCCAGGCTGAGACTACATACCGTGTGTCTCTCTGAGGACAGAATTTGAGTCTAGCAGTCTAATTGGGAAGTCCCCCAAGAAATCTCACCTAGGGGACACAGCACGATGGCTCAGTGGCTAAATCCTCACCTTGCAAGCGCCAGATCCTCTGTGGATGCCGGTTTGTATCCCAGCTGCTCCACTTCCCTTCTGGCTCCCTGCTTGTGGCCTGAGAAAGGGGCATAGAATGGCCCAAAGCCTTGGGATCCTGCAGCCACGTGGGAGACCCAGAAAAAGCTCCTGGCTTCTGGTTTCAAATCAGGGCAGCTCCGTTGCAGCTATTTGGGAGTGTGAACTAGTGACGAAAAATCTTTCTGTCTGTAAATCTGCCTTTCTAGTGGAAATAAATAAATCTTAAGAAAGAAAGAGAGATTGAGAGAAGAAGAAAGGAATCTCACCTGGGGAGTCCTCGGACTTGGTCTTGTGTGTCGCAGCTAGCGTCGGGTCAGATTCAGGGCGTCACCTGCGCCTCCACTTCTGTTAGAGCTCTCTGTTACTGCGTCTGGGGAAGCAGCAGACGACGGCCCAAGCATCTGGCCCTTGCACCCACATGGGAGATGGAGATGGAATTCCAGGTTCCTAGTTTGGACCTGGCTGTTGGGGTTGTTTGGGATGCTAGCCAGGTGGATGGAAAATACCTCTTTCTCAACTATGCTTTTAAAATTAACGGTGAATTGATTAGAAAAAAGACAGCCTTGGCATTTCGTATCTTTAAAAAAATAAAATACAGAGTTTGTATCTTAGAGCAGTTTTTGCAGCACTTGGCAGCTGGATTCACTTTGCACCCTGAAGCCTGTGTGCTTTTCTGATTTGCTGCCCAGTGTGAAACCCAGCTTCCTGGTGCCTGCGCCTTATCTCTTGTAAGAGCCTGGGAGCAGGGCACAGGCAAGTGTTTGTTGTGAGGGCTTTGTTTAAGTTCTCGGCAGCTTTCAGGGGATGTTGGGTCACTTGGCGCCTCTCTGCTACCGAGCCAACACGGCCTCTGGAGCCACCACTTAAAACCCTTTTAAAATGGAGTGTACTTGGAAGGGACACTGTTGAGAAGCCTGGAGCAGGAAGTCAACCACCCTTGGGAGCTGGCTTCCCAGACCCAGTGAATTAAGACTCCGGAACAACCGGCAAGAACTGAGACCCCTGGGGCAGCCCCTGTCCGGAAAGGGCAGCAGCCTGGTGCCTGAGGCCCAAGACACAGGGAGCATCTTAACTCTTTGCTGTCCAGTTGTCTGTAGTTTGAGTATGCCCGGGAATGAGCATGACCAATTACAGTGTGTGTATGACCTCTATTTATATAAGTTTTTAAAAATATATTTGAAAGACAGAGGCAGAACTTCCATTCATTGGCTCAACCCTTGAATGTCTGGGCAAGCGCAAAGACTGGAGCCCAGAACTTGGGTCCCTCACGTGCGTGGCAGAGATCCATATACTTGAGTGGTCACCACCACCTCCCTGGGGTTGCATCAGTAAGAGGCTGAAATTGGGAGCATAGCCAAGACTCAACCCACACACTCTGGTGTGGGATATGGAAGTCACAAGTGGTATTATAATTGCTATACCAGATGCTCCTTTCCCTCCCTACAATGTATTTTAAGATTCCTAACAGAAACAACAAGACAGAGGTAAGGTGATGGTGGTGCTGGTCCTGTCTCTTGAGCTATGTCCGTTTCAGGTCCCCTCCTCTCCATGCACTCCTGGGCTACACATTGTGGAATGTGCCTGTTACTGAGGCCCTCTGGAGAGATGGAGAAGAGCAAGGGTGCAGAGCACTGGAAACCCACCACATATCTGAGGATCTGTCCTCTTGTTGTTTTTAATTTTTTTAATATTTATTTCCACTTGAAAGTAGAAGTTATAGAGACATGAATCTTCCATCTGCTGGTCCACTCCCTAAATAGCCACAGTGGCCCAAGCAAGCTGAGCCGGTGTGAAGCTGGAAGCCAGAAGTTTCTTCTGGGTCTCCTTGTGGGTGGCAGGGGTCCAATGGCATGAAACATCCCCTTCTGCCTTTCCAGGCCATCAGCAGGGAGCCCACATGGAAGATAGGTAGGTAGCACATAAACTGGAGCTCACATGGAATGCTGATGCCTCGGGTGGAAGATTAGCCCACTCTGCCACCACATCAGCCCTCCTTACCCAAACCGACATGTTCCTTGTTCATACCTAAGGCTTGGGCTTAAGCACTTTCCACCATAGTTCATGCCAGGCTTTGAGAAGCACATACCTGCTCCCAGGAAGGAAAGGTGCCCTGCCGTAGGGCCTTCCCTCTGGGAGGTCATGTGCTTATGGCCCAGGGTCCCGGGAGCCAGAAGGCACTGCTCTTGTACTTTCCCTGCCCTTCCAACTTGTGGGCAAGATCCTCTCCAGCGCCAGGCCTGTGTGAATGTGACACAGCAGCTACACATCCACCCCAGTGTGCTTGGCCAAAAGCTTGAATTTAAATTAGTCATGCAAGCACAGGGAGCAAAAGCTGATGTGAACCAAGGAACTTTTACACACAAAATTCAGCATGTTGAAGATACCTGTCTCAAATGCTTGGGGCCAAAAGTGTTTCTGATTCTGGAGTTTTTTGAGAGTAATTGTGGACTTCCCTGATAAAACACCCCTAAGCTAACGATCTGCAATGCTCCACACGGGGGCTTTTTGAGCATCGCATCTGTGTGCAAAAAAAAGCTTCAAATTAGGGTTGCCATACCCATGTTGTTGCTAAGCTTGCGTTTATGGAATTCTGGATTTTGGGGTGTGCAACTTTGAACCAGTAATGCCCACAAGATAAAGGTTAGGGAACCAACCTTAATGAAATGGGGGAAAAGAAGTTTTGGGGTGTGGGCATTTGGCATGGTAGTCAAGACACTGCCAGGACACCCAGCCTGTCAGAGTCTCTAGGTTTGAGTCCTGACTCTGCTGCTTTTTCTTCTCTTGTTTTCTTTTTATTATTATTATTTTTAAAACTTTTATTTGAAAGCTGAAGAAAGATCTTCCAATTGTTAGTTCACCCCCCCGAATGGCCCCAGCAGCCCCAACTGGGCCAGGTGGAAGCCAGGAGTCTAGAACTCCGTCTGGATATCCTAGGCAGGTGGCAGAGGCCCAAGCGTTTTTCCACTGATTTGCTGATTTGTTAACAGGCAGCTAGATCAGAAGCAAAGCAGTCAGGATTCAAACCCATGTTTCTAAATGGGATGTCTGCCTCACGGGCAGCAGCTGAGCCCATTGCAGTGCCACAGTGCCAGCCTCCTGCTTCTGACCTAGTTTCATGCTAATGTGCTACCCTGAGGTGAGAAGCAGCACGTGATGCCTCAAGTCCTCTGGTTCTTGCCATCCATCACAGGAGACAGAGGGAGATCCAGGCTTCCATTTTTTACCTGGCCCACCCTGGACTGTCATGGGCATTTGGGGAGCAAGCCAGCAGATGCAAGATAGATCTCTCTGTCTTTGGGGGAAAAACATTTTTTTAATTTAAAAGGTAATACTTTTTTTTTAAGATTTATTTTTATTGGAAGGTCAGATATATGTAGAGGAGGCGAGACAGAGAGGAAGATCTTCCGTCCGATGATTCACTCCCCAAGCGGCCGCAACGTCTGGAGCTGAGCCAATCTGAAGCCAGGAGCCAGGTGCTTCTTCTGAGTCTCCCATACAGGTGCAGGTTCCCAAGGCTTTGGGCCGTTCTCTACTGCCTTCCCAGGCTACAAGCAGGGAGCTGGATGGGAAGCAGGGCCACTGGGATTAGAACCGGCGCCCATCTGGGATCCCGGGCATGTGAAAGACGAGGACATTAGCCGCTAGGCTACCACACCAGGCCCAGTAATACTTTTTTTTTTTAATGCATGTCCAACATATATTCTTTTAAATAAATGAACTGAGGAAAAAACATGGGGAAGACAAATATGAAATAAATACAAATGTAAGCTGTTGTGGCTAATTGTTTTATAACCACAACTAGTACGCAGAATGCCTTGCACAAAACACAGTGAAGGTTCAAAGACTGAGGTGTTCCCTTCTCAAGGCAGTCTCTGATATTTGGAATTTAGGCTGCAGTTTTTTTGTGGATCATTGGGTTTGTGGCTGAGTCCATGCTTTTTAACTGGATTTGAACAGAAGAATGACCACCTGGCCCAGGAAGAAGTAGAAGTGTTTGGTTTCATGTGTCACATTACTGCCGAAGTTTCTCCCCACAATGCAGCGCCCAGCGGGGTTGTACTTCTTGTCAAACCCCTCTTTGATGTGGGCCACAACATTCTCTGCTGTGTTTCCCCAGCGCTTGAGTAGCGCACTCCACCAAATCCTGTTGCATCTGTTTGGACATGTCCGCGTTTTTGATAACTGCCTTACGGTTGCACATGGTTACCGTGGCTGGCTGATTAGACGGGGAAGCTCTGACTCCGTTCAGCTCAGGCGGGAGGATGCGTCCTACCAAAGCCGTGGCGCATCTAAGCAGTGAGAAGTTTCTGATGGACACGTGTGTTGGCAGATGATTCTGACTCCAGCTTTGGAAAGCTGTTCCTCCCAAGCCCCATGAGTCTTGTGTGATCCCAAGTCAAGCAGGGGTGGTGTTTGCTATCAGATGAGATGGTAAACTGTCTCTGTGCAGAAACTGTCCCAGTAACAGTCATATGCAAGTTTGAGACTTTGTGGTGAGCAGTGGAGCAGCGGTGCTTTCCTGTGAGACGTTCTTGGGGCTGGTCTTCCTGCGTCCCTGGCCCTGCTCTGTAACAGCCCTGCCTTCTTCCGTGTTCCCTCCGCGGCGAAGGTGCTGTGCTCCCCAGTAGCACGTGCCACTGCTTCTGCACCTTCCACCTGAACTTTGCCACAATTTTTTTTCCTTCTCTCTTTTTTTGTTTTTTGTTTTTTGTGGAAATAAGCAGCAGTTGTTGCCCACCAAACCGTGCCAAGTTTGCGGAACTACTTAGCCTTTCAGTAAGCCAGGTTCTAAGCTCTGTGTTACCAAATGACATCCCTGCCAGTTCCGGCCAGTTTATAGATTGAGCAAGATACGAGGCTTTGAAGGTGGCCCTGGGAGTGGTGACCTAGCCTTTCGGGTCCCTTGCAACACATCCCGAGCAGAGCCCTTAGCAGTGCCTGAGGGCTGCTTGAAAGCAGTGGAGCTGCAGTTTTGGGTACTGGGCTCTCCCCCACTGCCATGGGGTCCCCCAGCCCAGTGAAGACGCCCTTAACAGTGTGACTCATGGGCTGTTTCAGTGTCTGTAAGCGGTGCATTCGCAAGATGGACCACCACTGTCCCTGGGTCAATAACTGTGTCGGAGAGAACAACCAGAAGTACTTCGTCCTGTTTACAGTAAGTCAGCTTGCGATTGTGCCCGCCCACCACCAAGCCTCAGAGCCCCTCGGTCCTGTGACATCTCTCCGCATGCACAGTGCTCTTTACTGCTGCTCAGCAAACTGCCTGGCCATGTGGATTGCCCTCCTGCCAGGGATCTCCCTGCTTACACAGGGGCCTGTCCCCAAAATCTTCTTTGGAGCATTTAGGAAGTGGATTCAAGTGGATAGCTGTCAGCCAGGGCTCACAGGCCTAGCCCGGGGATGTGGACATCAGATCCTGAGTTGCAGATAGGTATACCACACTTAACATGAGGCCAGGAAGGGGCACGGGCAGTTAGCACCCTGACTTCTCTCAGGAGCAGCAGCATGCCGGGGGAACCCCAGCAGCCTCATCGTACTCAGGGCCCATACTTCCGTTCTGGTTCCACATTCACCTCGGACCTAGGGCGGGAGACCAGGGCTCTTCCTTAGGAATCACCAAATGCCGTTGGGCCTCACCCCAGCCAGTTGTGTTCCCGAGGGGAAGGCTGAGGCCCCGTCCCTGGAGCCTGCGTGCTCAGGAGGTTCACAACATGGCGTCTGCACTGCTTTCCTATTTCAGATGTACATCGCTCTCATTTCCTTGCACGCCCTCATCATGGTGGGATTCCACTTCCTGCATTGCTTTGAAGACGACTGGACAAGTGAGTATATGCCAGTACTTCCCTCCGTGCCCCAGGGTGGGTGTGTGACCAGAGACAACGGGGACCAGCTTCTGTTGGCTGTGCCATGAACCTGTGCAAAGTAGTGAGTCAGGCCTCCTGGCTGAGCGTGCCCAGGGAGGACGTGGGCCCCAGGCAGGCAGAGAAGCCTGTTCCAGAGAGGGGGAGCCGGACGGGGAGGGAGCTTCAAGATCTGTCATTACATGAGGTGTTTGAATCAGTGGTTTATGCCACTTTTGCAACCCATGCCCAACTTTTTGGCTAGGATGTGGAGGAATTTTTGTGCTGATTAAAGTATATGAATTATACGTGTATATATATATATATTTCATTATATATATAATATATATTATATATAATGAAATGTATATTTCATTAAAAATATCTTGTATTGTTAATATTATTTCCCATAATAGTTTTGTAGGTATAGGGATTGCTCCCTCTCCTTTTTTTTCCTTCTCGTTTTCTTCTCCCATGTTTATAAATCCTTTATACTGTGCTATGTTATACTATAGTCCTTTAGTAACAATGACAAGATTTTAACATTCTGCTATTTAATCGCATTAATGGCATTGTAGGTATAAGCAAAGGTAGAAAATGTATCATATTGTCAAGATATGTTTTAACTTGCATTGAGAATTCACTGTTTATTTGAAAGTAGGCATGGATACTGCAGTGTATCCTGGTACGCTAGTCTCCATTACACAGTTAATCTATGAGAATATAACTGTTCACCTAGAGATCTATTTTGTATTTTGCATGAAGGTTGTCTTATATCAGAGAGAATATATATTTCTCCTTTTGGGACTGGCTTATTCAGCATAATAGTCTCCAATTGGAACAATTTTGTTGCAAATGACAGAATTTCATTCTTTTTAATGGCTGAGTAGTATTCTGTGGAATAGATAAATAGCAGTTTCTTTATCTGTTCCTTTTTAAAAAGTTGTGTAAGATTTATTTATTTTTATTGGAAGGCAGATATACAAACAGGCAGGCAGAGAGAAAGATCTTCTGTCCGTTGGTTCACTCCCCCAGGTGACCGCAATGGCCAGAGCTGAGCCAATTCAAAGCCAGCTTCGTCCAGGGCTTTCATGCAGGTTCAGGGTCCCAAGGTTTTTTGGGCTATTGCTTTCCCAGGCCACAAGCAGGGAGCTGGATGGGAAACGGGGCCCGTGTGGGATCCTGGTGCATGCAAGACGAAAACCTTAGCCAAAGGCTACTGTGTGGGGCCCTTTTTGCTTATTTTTAATAAATTTTTTTGAAGATTTATTTATTTTTATTGCAAAGACAAATTTACAGAGTAAAGAAGAGACAGGAAGATCTTCCATCTGATGGTTCATTCCCCAAGTAGCCACAATGGCCAGAGCTGAGCCAATTCAGAAGCCAGGAGCCAGGAACTTCTTTCAGTCTCCCACTAGGGTACAGGATTCCAAGGCTTTGGGCTCTGCCACTGCTTTCCCAATCCACAAGCAGGGAGCTGGATGGGAAGTGGGGCTGCTGGGACATGAATTATGCTCATATGGATCCTGGGCATACAAGGCGAGGTCTTTAGCCACTAGGTTACTGTGCCGGGCCCCCCAATATTTGTGTTTAAATTGTTGGTGTTGGTAATCAATTTGATTTTTAGGTTGTAGACAAATTCTTGGTGCTCTAAAGAAACCTTACCTAATTTTTAAAAAGAGAGAGAACCCCAGCTAAGTGTGCACATGTTGTCGAAGGAACTGCAGCTAGAGGATTGTGAAATCTGGAGGGCCCAGGGCTAGGTCCTCGGTGCAGTCTGTGCCTGAGAGCAGCCTGAGCAGGGCACGCCCCTTTCCTATGTTTCACTTCCATGCGTCTCCCTGTCCAGCACTATCTTTAGTGCATGCTGATTTTTACCACAGTTCTGGCATAAACAATCGAAAGCAACTGATCTCCTGAACAGGGCTCAAGTGGTTTACAGCCTCCTGGGTACTGGAGTTCCCCTCTTCTATTACCTTTAACTGGTCTAACATCTCATCAGTACCTAGGGGAAGTGCTTGGGCTTAGGCAGCCAGTGTCACATGTGGAAGGGAAGAGGGGGAAGTTACACACTCGGACTGTAGGGAGCAGAGAGCGGGGTGGGGAATGGAGGGTGTGGCAGATCCCAGCCTTTGGCTGTGAGTGCACGCATTCAGCAGGGTCCTGAGGGGCCAGACCAGCTGCAGATGTGGGCGTCAGTGACATGACAAGTCTGGGAAGGCGTTCCTCACCGCCACTACCCACAGACTTGGGCTGACTACTGGGGGAGCACGGTGGTGATGGGTTTGGGATGCTGCTAGGGGGGACTCTGCTAGGAGCCAGGCAGGGTAGGGAGGGCTTAGAGGGAGTACTTGGTTACAATAGCACACAAGCCTGCAGGGGAGCAGGACAGTGCCCACGGCCTATGCAGATGACAACAGCTGGTCTCAGAGGTTGAGCAGGTTCCCGAGACCACTCAGCTCTGAAGGGACCTTGTGAGCTTTCTAGGCCTGATGCAAGTTTTCCCAACACTGTCTGCTCAGGGTCTTGTCAGCCAGTTTTGGTTGGTCTTTTTTTTTTTTTTTTTAATTTATTTATTTTTATTTGAGAGTTCACAGCATCAGACAGAGGGATCTGCCATCTGTCAGTTCTCTCCTCATATGGCCCCATGGCTGGAGCTGAGGCAATCTAGAGACAGGATTCTTCTGGGTTTCCTACAAAGGGTGCAGGGACCCAAGGGCTTGACCATCCTCTGCTGCTTGCTCCGGCCATAAGGATCTAGATCAGAAGTGGAGTAGCTAGGACTGTAGAACTGGTGCCCATATGGGATGCCCGTGCTTGCAGGCAGAGGATTAGTCTGTGAGCCACCATGCTGGCCCCTGGTTCAGGTTCTTGATAAGTTGAGGGTACAGAATGGTTCTCAAAGTGGAAACGGGAGCATAGTCCGTGCTTGGCAGCTAGTGCCCTTGCTGCCCAGCCCTAGCTAGAGCTGTTGGACCTTATGACATCTTAGAAACAGTTAACCCCATAGTGCAAGAGATGGGAAAGAAAAGAATGTTTGTGAGGCATCACAGAAGAGTTGGTGATCAGGATTTGGGGCAGAGTTGACAGCCTTAGTTCCTCCTAGCATGCTGCCAGGCCTAGCCAGGCAGCTGCCTTACTTATAGCCACCCAGGACCAGTCTGACCAAGCCTTGCCCAGCAAGGAGCCAAAAAGGGATTTGTCTTGGGACATCCAGCTCCCAGGAAAGGGGGAAGGCGTTGGGTTGAGATACTCTTTGCTCTCTGTTCATGTGGTGCTTAGCATCATGCCAAGCCCCTCGCCACATTGGCCCTCCCTTGCCCCTTTCACCATAGTTGTGAGATGGCCAGCAGGCTGGGGCAGAAGGAACACTCACTGAGTCCCTAAAGCCAGCTTGGCCGTGGGATCTGATCTCTGCGACCAGGGAAGCAGGCCTGAGCAGGGACCAACCCTTATGTGACTGCATAGGGCTCTGCCCTAGAGGGGCAGGGTCCTTGAGTAATGAGTGCCAACCAGGGCGTGTTACTTCCCAAGCAGAGCATTCCTGGGGCTGAGTCCCACAGTTAGGCTGCCCTCTTCGAAGCTATGAATACGAAGCCACAAAAGTGGCCTTCCAGACCTGTGCTTTCCTCCCACCTGTGAACTGCTGAAGGCCCAAAAGAGGGTGGCACCTCGTGCAGGGCTGCCCAGAATGCCCTGGCCAAACCTGCACTGGACATACCTCTCTGGCCATGTCCTTGCATTATGCTCTGCGGAGAGAAAGGCTTCTGTGGCGGAGCTGGAATTCTGGATCCTTCAGGTGCCAGGCCCTGTGCTCAGCACCATGGCCAGCGAGTGAGAAGGAACTGGAGCCTGGCTTCTCTGGGGATGAACTGCAGCCAGCTAGGATTAGGGCAGAATGTCCCATCAAGCCAGGGAGACAGAGCGTGAGCTGGGCAGCAGGCGTCCATCCAGGCTCACAAGTTCCTTTTCTTGCAGAGTGCAGCTCCTTCTCGCCGCCCACCACGGTGATCCTCCTCATCCTCTTGTGCTTTGAGGCACTGCTCTTCCTCATTTTCACGTCAGTGATGTTTGGGACCCAGGTGCACTCCATCTGTACAGATGAGACGGTAAGCTCTAGCCCTGCCTGCCACCCCCATGCACACAGCCCTGCTTGGAGCACTGCTGGTGCCCAGGAGCCAGTCTGTGCAGGGCCCAGGTCCTTAATGGGCGGTGGTACTTGGCTCTTCCTGATGCACACAGCCCTCAGCTCCAGGGTGGGAACAGCAGAACACCCCAGAACACATCTGGGTGCTGCCACTTGCTGAGTCCGCCATAGCGTTGACTGCACCGGACTAGGCACTGCTCTAGGCAGCAGGGACACCCTGATCAGCTGGAGGCTGCAAGTGTGGCGGGAACATTGTTGCTGGCATAGGCCTGGTCCTCTTTCCAGGGAAGAGTCAGGACACAGCTGCCTCGAGCCATGGGGCAGCTGGTGCTGGGCTGGCCTCCAGCTTCTCTGTGCTCAGCCAGCTCTGCCCTCTGTCCGTATCCTTCTCAACCCTAGCCGCCCTTCTGGGAGTTGGAAGCTGCTGGCCACGCCAGACTGGAGCCCTCTTCCCTGGTGCCTCTGCTGCCGCCCCTTGACCTTTGTAAGGCTGCCAACGCTCCCAGGTGGTTGATTTTCCAGCTGTGAGGGTTCGGGATATAACGAACAGCATCCTGAGGTTGTGAGCCCATCCTGGTATGCCCCTGGCTTCCCGAGCTTGCCCAGGCGTAGCTGTCGGTACTGGGGTAGTGACTCGGGGCTTTGGGCCCAGCAGCTGTGTGTGATCCCAGGAGGCTCACAGGAAGGCAAGGGCCTTCCCAGCTGTGACCTGACAGAGCGGCATTCGGAGGATGGTAGGTTTGGTGCTGCCTGCCTGGGATGCCGCCCCGTGACCTACCAGCTCAAGCAGCTCTCAGCAGTGTCTTCCCCAGTCGGAGAAGTACGGCATCCATATGTCTGTAATGTGGCAGCCATGGGTCTCGCCAGAGCCTGGCACTGAGAGGGAAAATCGTTGGTCCTCAGCCCATTTGTTCTTTTCTGTCAATACTGTCTCTAAAGGGAATGTATCTGAAGGGACAGGAAAGAACTGAGTGGCATCCCTCCTCGGTGTGGGACCTTGCTGTGTTCCCAGACCAGACAGACAGGTTTGGGAGGACACCGCTTTCTCCTTCGCTGCCATTCCTTGGGAGGCCCAGCAAAGGATGAGGTGCAGGCTGTACAACAGCGGCTGCGCACTGCTTCCCCAGGTGGAGGTCCTCCCTGTGCCCTGACTACACCTGGCTGACCTGACCTTGTCCCCCTAACTGTGCCAATCCTTTCTCCTTCCTCCTCTGTGGTGGCTTCTGCCCTTACCCTGGTTTCTCACTGCTGTCTGACCTTCTCAGTTTGGGTCTCACTAGCCTGCTAAGGTGGGTACCTCTTGACCTCAAGCTGGCACAGCTCCCAGTCCCAGAGCAGTCATCTAATTCATTCTTTTTTTTTTTTTTTTTTTGTCTGCAAAGAGGTCATAGCAACTTCAAATTGCTGTAAATCTAACTGCAAATCCATAGCCACCATTGGTTCTCATGATTTCGAGCCCCCAGCCCATTCAAGTGCTCCTCCAACCCGAGCCCTTCCTGGCACTCCCACATGCGGCCTGGCTCAAGGCTCCTTAGAAGCAGCCTGCTGTAGACTCGCTCCATAACGTCACAATCCCAGGTGGGCCCGGTCAGGATTGGTGGCTCAGGGCCTGTACCTGAGGGAGCTTGTCCCTCCCTTCTGGATGGGCTCCTAGCCACATGCCCAGCCAAGCACATGCAGTGCTCTGGACCGGCACTCCCTAGGGGAGAGAGGGAGGACACGCATGCTCGGTGGATGGCTTTCTGCCATGCCAAGCAGCACTGACTGCAGTCACCTCCAGCCGAGGGAGCGGCCTCCCCAGAGGCCACAGCAGTAAAGCGTGTGACTGAAAGTCTACCTGTTCTTATTTCCAGGGAATAGAACAATTGAAAAAGGAAGAGAGAAGATGGGCTAAAAAAACAAAGTGGATGAACATGAAAGCTGTGTTTGGCCACCCCTTCTCCCTAGGCTGGGCCAGCCCCTTTGCCACGCCAGACCACGGGAAGGCAGACCCGTACCAGTATGTGGTCTGAAGAACCCCGAGCCGTGCTGGCACCCAGACAGCCACATCACAGCACTACCGTCCGACCCGCTCTCATGAATGTTAAAACTGAAAAGCAAAACAACTACTCTTAAAACTTTTTTTAATGTTTCAAAATGGCTGAGCATTGCAGAGAAAAAAAAAAAAACTTTTTATTTTTGAAAAAAAAATCATTTTGATTTTTTTTTTCTTTTTTTGGTGATTGAAGCTGCTCTTTTTTCCTTTTGAAATCACTTCTCTGGCCTCTGGTTTCCTCTCTGCGTTCTGTCTGGCGTGACTAACGTGGAGGGTGCTGTCTCCTGGCCATGCCCACTTCTACTAATCGAGCAACCCGTGACGCTGTGTGTGGATGGAGCGGTTCAGTTGGAGAGTAAGGGGCAGGAGCCCCCGTGGGACTTGGAACCTTACCCAGGACGGCTGCTGAGCTGCGGAGGCCTGAGCAGGACAGGTGCAGGGTGGGCATCTTGGGAAGGGTCCCAGGACAGCGGGCCGCTCCCATAGCCGAGGGGTCTCTCACTGCTGCCGCCTCTGCAGTGACACTCGTCTGTTTGTACTCTGTGGGCTCGGGCTGGGGACAGTGATTTTGGGGAGGGTGGGGAGAGAAAGGCAACGGACGGGTCATATTGTGTCCTGTGTTGGCATTTATACTCCCTGTGATGATTGGGAAGAGGGTGAAGCAAAGAAGGTTTTCCAGTTCAAAATGCCTTATACAATCAGAGGAAAAAATGATTTCAGGCAAGGTGCAGCTTCCTTTGTGGCATTCACTCCCTCTCACCCCTCTCCCTCCTCACACCCCTCCTAGCCAGGTATCAACTAAGCAGTGTTAATTCCCAGTGAGACACACAGAAATCCTTTCCTCAACCCCTTTTTGCTTTGTAGATCTCTAAAATGGGTTCACACTTGGGCGCTTCAGACCAGAGGCCCATAGCCATGTCTTACCTGTGCCCTGACCCGGGAGACTGTTGTCCTGCCTCAGGCTGGCCGTGACGCTGGGCCGACATTACAGCCCCTGGCCTCTCTGAAGAAGATGGGGACAGGAGGAGAGGAGCGTCCTGGTATCTGGCATCAGCAGATGCCCTGACCCTGTGGTGCTGAGCAGCTGAATAGCTTTTCTGCTGGAGAAGGGGGCAGTGCAGTGAGTTTCATCTTAAAGAGTCCGTGAGCGCTGGACAGGAGGGGGCAGTGCAGAAGCCGCGGGCACCCCACCCCAGCAGTTGCATCCAAACACTGGCCGTGTGTGAACAGACATGTTCAGGCAGTCACACAGAGCTCCATTTTAGCTTTTGCTTGGGGTGAGGGAAGGAGAAGTTTATTCAGTCCAGTGCTGGGTAGGGAAACACGATCCAGCCATGAGATTATTATTTTTTTTCCAGACAAGTCTGTGGAACATGCTGCCTCTTTTCAATTGTCAGTGCTTCCACATGGAGACAAAATGCAATAAAACTTTTCCAAAACCTGTTCTGATTTCTCCCTCCTGTTTCTCAGTGTTGTGCGTAGAGGGCAGTTGTGCCTTAGGTGCTGGGAGCATTCCCTGGCCAGGTGTGCTTTTGGGCTCCCTCTCTGAAATGAAGTGGTGTGGTGTAGGGCTGGTGTGGTGTAGGGCTGGTGGTGGTGTGGTGTTCAGTTTAGACCATATTCACAGCCCTTCCCTTCCCCCATCCCACCCCAGTCTCTTTCTTTGGCTTCTACAGCTGGAATTGCGTCCTCTCGGTTGCTGTAGAAAAAGGTTAGTTTTTTACTGGAGTTGGGGATCTGTTTGCTCCCACAGGAAGCCAAGAAAGTTGCTCCAAGCCTCACGCCAGCAGAGCATGTCCCACGGGCACAGGGCGCGCTGGCCTGTCTCTGCAGCTGCTCTGCCTGCAATCCCAGGCGTGCTTGGCAGGTCTCCTTAGTGCTGGTCTGGGTTCCTGTTTGTAGGCGTTTGTTCTCCCCGCTTTGCCGCCGTGTAAGTTACTTTTGCAGTTTCTTTAGCTGTCTGCAGGAAGCCTGACTCTGTGAAGTGAGCGGCTGGCTGCAGGGAAGCTGGCCCTGAGCTCCCAGGATGGCGCCCCTGCACACAACACGGACACAGACAGGCTGCCGGGCCATCTTTGAAGTGTTGAGGTTCCCGACTCCTCTGGCCTCGGGCCCAGTTGCTGTTCTTGCCTGTGGAGTTTCTGAGGAGTGCCATACATGCTACCGCAGGTGTGTTATTTTTCTTTTTGTTTTTCTGGCTTGAAGTCCTGAAAATAGAAATGCACTTGAAATGGCGCATGTTCTGTACAGCTTTGCCAGAGAGAAAGGTCCTTTTAGGTTGTCCATGTGGAGTTTGTGCGAGCCCCTTGAGTGGAGAGAAAGGACGTCTCCCAGCTCTCAAGCCTCGGGGCAGGGCTGCCCGTGAGAGAGTGGACACATGACTGAGGAACATGGCCGTCGCTGGCAGCTTCCTGACAGGTTGCCAGCCTGGCACCCTCAGGGATGAGCATGCCCCAAGCCTGCCAGATGGAGCACCTCTGTCCAGAAGTGAAGCAGAAGGAGCCGCCGTCCTTGAGAACGTGTGGTCCCCAGCAGATGTCAGTGAGGAAGACATGGAGTGTTGGATCTGGTGACCCCTGGGTTCCTGTCCATCTGCCAACTTCAGGTTTGTGTTGGTAGCCGCGAGAGTGAGCATGCAAAAGGCTCAGGCCCAAACCACACATGTTTGCATGGATGTGGTGACACTACCTACCAGGGTACATCTAGGAAGAAATGCATGTGCTACGTTTCCTGGTAATCCTTGTTATAAGACTTCTCTTTCAGGGAGCCTGTTTTATTCATTCAGGCGAGATTGCTTAGGTCATTTCTGTATTATCAGGATAATAGATTTTAACATTTATTTTCAGGGCTGGTGCCATGGCATAGCACGTTAAACTTCTGCATGCGACACTGGCATCCCATCTGGTCATTGGTTCAAATCTTGTCTGCTCCACTTTTGATCCAGCTCTCTGCTAATGGCCTGGTAAAGCAGAGGAGTATGGCCCAAGTGCTTGGGCTCCTGCTCCCATAAAAGAGAGTGGAAGAAAAGGTCTTGGCTTTGGATTGGCCCAGTGAAGGTAATTGTGGCCATTATGAAATGAACCAGCAGATGGAAAATCTAACTCAGCCTTTCAAATTAAATAAGTCTCTAAAGAAAAAAAGAAATGTTTACTTTCATGTACTCAAAAAGCAGAGCAAGAAAGAATCTTTCCCCAAATGCCTGCAACAGCCAGGGGTGAGCCACATACCAAGGCCAGAAGCCAGGAACTCCATCTGATCTCCTATATGGCTTGCAGGGAGCAAGCACTTGACCCGTCATCTGCCTCCCAGGATGCAGTGCCAGAAAGGAAGTGGAGGAGCTGGGACTTGAACTGGTAGTCTGATAGGGAACCAGGGTATCCCAAGTGGCTGCTTATCCTGCACTGCAGTGCTTACTAAATGCCTGTGTGAGGTGGTTACCTGTGGAAACCCCTCCTGTGGGATCCGGAGTGCACTGTCTCATCAGGCTAACAGGTTGTAAGTTGCTCTCCTTCCACAACCCGCAGTGCTGCAGCTCCCAGGGCCAACTTAGCAAGCAGTCCCAGACTTGAAAGGACCCTGGATGGCACACATGGAAACAGGATTTTGCTAGAATTTCTCCCAAGGATCTTGCGAGGCTTAGGCTGGCAGCAGGAGCAGCCTCTGGGAATGTGCTGGAAATAAACCCCAGCTCTCCCCAGAACCACTGACCCGGGGCCAGCAGGAGCAGCCTTCGGGTGAGCTCCACTGCCTGTTCATGCCCTGGGCACTGTGTGCGGCGACGCTCCGTGTTGTACACACAAGGCCCAGCAAGCCCCTTTGGCTTAGCAGCCCTAGGCCCACAATCCCTTGTAACCTGTGACCTCCAACAAATCAAAGTCAGCTTGAAGTAGCACCCAGCTCTGAACCAAGGGCCCCCATAAATGAAGACTGAGCTCAGAAAGGAGAGAGGTGCTTGAAGGAGGACCCTCATGGCATGTGGTGCTGCATGGCGTTGTGGCCAGTGAGTACTTAGAGCTCGCAGATCCTGGGCCTTGGGACCCTCCCTCGGCAATTTAGACCTCTGAAAGCCACAGCCACCTGAGAAGCACCTCTGAGAAGGCAAAGAATTCCTGGTGAAACAAACGGACCCATCCACCCACCTCAAACCAGAGCCTTTATCTTGCTCTTGGTCACCAAGGACTCAGACAGCATGGTCAGCACAGCCAAGTGGAGTAAGCCCGCAGGTCAGCCACACTCCCAGGAGCAGATGGTAGAGTTGAGGCAAGGCACATGCTGGGACACAACCTGACTACGCCCTGAACGTCTGTGCCAGAGTTGAGTCGTCTGGTCGCCAAGCATCGCCAAGCTTCCTGCCTCATCATACCACCAAGGTGTGACCTTAGCAGAAATTTCGGTAAGCCTCTGTTTGCATCTCTGAAAAATGGGCATGATTCTTTCCATGACGTGTTGATAGGTACAATGGCTGGCATGTGGGTGGCAACAGTAAAGGTTAACTGTATGAAGGGCTTTGCAAATCCTGGTCACAGCCGTTCATGATTTAGGGTATGAATTCGTTAGTTTGCAACCAGCAACCTTAAAAGATTTTCTTTAATGCAGTGCTTATTGTGATACCTTTAAAAAAAGAAATGTTTTTTAGAAAGGCAGATTTACAGAGAGGAGAGACTGAAAGATCTATTTGCTGGCGCACTCCCCAAATGGCCGCAACGGCTGGAGCTGAGCCAATCTGAAACCAGGAGCCAGGAGTTCCCCAGGCCACAAGCAGGAAGCTGGATGGGAAGTGGAACAACTGGGCTATGAACCAGCACCCATATGAGACCCAGTGTGTGCAAGGTGAGGATTTAGCTGCTGAGCCATCGGCTGGGCCCTGTAGGTTACATTTCATGAAATGTTAGGGAGGATGTACGTGTGGGCCAGCTGCTGAGAGGAGCACCTGCCTGGGCTGCTGCAGAAGGCGGCTCTGACTTTGTTCTTGGGGTGATAGAGGCAGCCAGGGGACAGGTCGCCCCCAGTGGGGCCTTTGTAGAAGGCCTCAGCCAGGCATGATCCTGAGATGTTTCTGCACAGGTCACATAGTTCTTGTCACCTTTTGGTTCCAATGACCCTGGGTCCAGAGGTCCAGGAGACCATGTTGGCCACTGCCCACTTTCCCAGGACATGGGTGTTAGTGCTCCTCTGTAAGCTGCAAGTTAAGGGGCCTGGCTGCAGGGCAGCTTCAGGACAGAGTCCTGCCAGGGAGAAGTTGCCCTCGGTCCTTGGAATGCAGCCCAGCAACTCAGACTGACACTCCACAAACATTCCTCCACATCACTGTGGAGGGGGCATCACAGACAAGCCAGCTCCAGCCCAGAATTCTTTTTGAAACTGGTGGACGAGGTTGCGGGTTCGCATGCTTGGACTCTTGGTTCTCCCCACCTGGAGGTTCACATGGGCAGTGGGGACTTGTAGTGGTGGAGCCTGTTGGGCAGAGAGAGCGCTAGTCCTGAGGCATGAGCTTGGGCACTGCCATGGCCTCTCAGAATGCCCATTTCCCCACCCACCCGGTGTCACGACCACTGCCACTTCCTCGCAGAGTGGTTTATGGACCCCTAGACTTGAGCTTTGAATGGATCCAACCTTGCATGGACACAGCCAGCTGGTCCTTTCTGAGTGTTTCCTCTGCCACCAAGATAAAGTGTCTTCCTTGATGAGCTGCAGATGATCACTCGGGGGGGGGCGTGGCATACAGGGTCCCAAAGCAAGCTGCCTTTGCTGGTGCCCGTTGCTGCTGCCATGGGAGGCCAGGCGCCAGCAGGGGCAGCTGGGCTGTGTGCTCCCAACCCATTTGGGCTTCCCTCGGGGCTTGTGAGAACAGTGTCCATTTCCTAGTGGCACATTTGTTCTGATGGTAAAAGTAAATGCTCATTGGTGAAAATGTGGAACACATGAGAAGTCCACAGAGAGAGGTCATGTAAAGTCTCACGGCCTTTCGTAACTCTGGGTTTCATGGCGCTGTAACACCAGTCAGTCTCTAGCTGTGCAGACGGTTCTGCTTGTTTTCAGCTCATCATCATCCTAATTCGGTGTTAAGGCTCTTATAATACGTACATCTGGGCTATCAGGTTATTATATTTAACTTTGTGAAATGACTTCAGAATTACCAAGAAGTGGCACAAACAGTGTAAAGCATTCTCCCATAAGCCCTTGGTCGCTCTCACCTAAGGTAAATCTTTATGCAGCTGTAATTCAAATATAAAGACCTAGACATTTCCTGCTACAAAACCAGTAACCATCTGTATTGCTGCAGCTTCTCCAGCTGGCCCCGAAGCCCTTCGCTGGCTCACATTCCAGCCTCACATTGTTCCTCATGTCTACTTGTCTTCTCCAGTTTGTGACAGTCTTTTATGACCTTGTCTCTCTCTTTTTTTTTAAATAAGATTTATTTATTTTTATTGGAAAGGCAGATGTACAGAGAGCAGAGACAGAGAAGAAGATCTTCTGTCCGATGATTCACTCCCCAAGTGGCCGCATGGCTGGAGCTGAGCCAATCCGAAGCCAGGAGCCTCTTCCGGGTCTCCCCTGCAGGTGCGGGGTCCCAAGGCTCTGGGCCGTCCTCAACTGCTCTCCCAGGCCACAGGCAGGGAGCTAGATGGGAAGAGGTGCTGCCGGGATTAGAACCAGCGCCCATATGGGATTCCAGCATGTTCAGGGTGAGGGCTTTAACTGCTACACTATCACACCGGGCTAGTCTCTTTTAAAGAGTTGAGCTGAGCCTCGTGTGCTGTTCACCACTTTGAAGGGTACAATTCCATGGCCCTTGGTGCATTCACAGTGCTCTATGACCCCCACTTGTATCTGTCTCCAAGACAGGTTGTTTTTTTGTTTTGTTTTTTTCCATCAAACTTGGATGTTTTTGGTGACAAGCGGCCGGGAGGTTCGTAGAAGAACCTTCAGTTTGCATTTATTAGAGGTTTTCTGGTGAGATCAAGGGTGTGCATTAGGGGTGGGAACATGGGAAGTGAAGCAGCGAGCTGGGCACTGTGTGGTGGAGGCACAGGAGGTGTGAGTGGTTCGTTACAGTGGCATTGGAACCCTTGATGAGCCTGGCGTCTCGGGCTCCCCATCCCGGTATCACCGCTTTTTCCTTTATCATTACCCAATGTCTTTGAGATTTTTCAACTTTCGTTATTTTTTTTTCTTTTTTATTTTATGAAACTTACGTTATTTTCAAAAGTCAAAAAACAGAAGTCTCTAAGGTGACGGTGACACGGGAAGAATGAACAGAGAGGAGGAACTGATGTAGTTGCGGTCCTGGAATCACAGATGTGTGTGTGTGCACAGGTTTACTCCCCAGATGGTCATATGGCTGGGGCTAGGCCAGAGCCAGGAGCCTCTTCCAGGTCTCCCACTTGGGTGCAGGGGCCCAAGCACTTAGGCCATCAGCAGGGAGCAAGATTGGAGGAGGAGTGACCAGGACCAGGTAGGCAGCGGCTTGACACTGCTATGCCGTGACTGTTGGTCTCCGAGACTTCTTTTTTTTTTTTTTTAATTATTATTTTTATTGGAAAGGCAGATGTACAGAGAGGAGGAGAGACAGAGAGAGGAAGATCTTCCATCCACTGATTAACTCCCCAAGCGGCTGCAATGGCTGGAGCTGAGCCAATCTGATCCGAAGCCAGGAACCTGGAGCATCTTCCGACTCTCCCACACGGGTGCAGGGTCCCTTGGCTTTGGGCCATCCTTGGCTGCCTTCCCAGGCCACAAGCAGGGAACTGGATGGGAAGCAGGACTGCCAGGATTAGAATCGACACCCATATGGGATCCTGGCGTGTTCAGGCAAAGACTTTAGCCGCTAGGCTATCGTGCCAGGCCTGCGACATCATTCTTCACAAAGTGGTCTTGAGTCATGTCCATCTGCGACACTCTTGTCCAATATACCCTCTCAGCTCGCAGAGAGATGGAAAAAGCAGAGGTCCACGGGAGGGGTTGGGCTCCGGAGCCTCAGTGGAAGGCGGTGTGGGCTGAGACTTGGCCTGGTTGTGTCGTTAACTCTTTGGGCTTCCCTATCCACCCCCTCTTCCTGTGGCTTGGCGGCCGAGCTGCAGCCGACAGCAGAGGCAGGTGAGTGGGCAGCCTGGGCAGGCCGCAGGGGTGCACACTGCATGAGCAGGCCTGCTGCTGCGGCCACTGCATGCCTGTTTGTGTTAGCGATTATCGGGCCTACTCCTTCCCCTCGCATGTTGTACCTCATGCCCTCCCCTCATCCTGCTGACCTTGTTCATGATAAGCTTGCTGCTCCTGCCAAAGGGGTAGGGGTGGCTCAGAAGATTGAGGGAAGGGGCACGTTTGGGTTTTCAGTGACCTGCCTGTAGCGTCCCTGATAAGGACTGCTGGGTTCTAGGCCATCAAACAGCCTCGTTCCTGTCCTGCAGCCAGCTTTGCATCTGTGGAAGGAATGGGAGGGAGCAGCCAGGAGACAGGCCAGCGCCCTGTGCGGGCCATGCTAGCTGCCCCTCCATACCTCTCCCCAGTCATACCCTGGCTGCCCACCCAGCCTCCATCTGCACCTGGGATGGTCCCCCGCGGCACCAGTGCCAGGGCCAGTGTGCAAGGTGCAGAACGCTGTGCCATGTTGACCACGTCCTCTTCTCCCTCCAGGGCATCGAGCGCCTCAAACGGAAGGATCAACCCCGGGAGCGCAGGTGCAGCTGGAAGCACTGCAAGGAGACCTTTGGCGAGGACTTCTCCCTGAACTGGTTCAACCCCTTCTCCACACCGTGTCAGCCGGAGACCCCCAGTGACAAGGACTTGGTGCGACAGGTGCCATCACTGTCCGACACGGATGTCACCGACGTGACGACAACAGAGGAGCCGTTGGAGACAACCAAGGATGAGGACTCTATTGAGGTCATAGATGAATAGAGGTGGCCATGGTCGCCCAAACGCTGGGGCGGTCCCAGCCTTCATTCTGGGTTCTGGCTAAAGGAGCTCACAGGAGTGACGTGTTCCCTTCCTCGGGCTGGCTACTGGGCTTCACTGTCCCCCGGGTGAGAGGTGGGGACAGCAGAGGCAGTGAGGAGACTCAGGTTCGGAGTTCCTCTAAGAAGAGCCTATGTGAGCAGGGTGGTTGGGAACCACTGTTCCCACCCTGATGGCTTCAAAGCCTCTGGGCAGAGAGGTAACCCAGGGCTGTTGGGGTCTTGTCTCCCTGCCGTGAGAGGCAAAGTCGTGAGGTCAGGAAGGATGGACAGGGTGGGACCATGTCAGCAGCAGAAACCTCCACACATCCTGGGGAAGGGCTCCCCACTCTCCCACCCCATGCCTGGCTGCCACATTTTGCTTAGAAAGGCCAGGCCACTTAGTGGGGATCCCTGGGCACACACGGGGCAGGACACGCCTCACATGGCGGTGAGCCTGTGTTGTGACGGTAACCGCCCTTCTGGAAACCCTGCAATCTTCCTTGATCTGACAGCTTGGAGCCGGCCTGCCAGTTCCTCAGAAGGCTTGTGGCTGCCAGGGCTGGGCCAGGCTGAAGCCAGGACCCCAATACCTGATCTGGTACCCCCAGCCCCATCCAGTGGGTGGCAGAGACCCAAGCACTTGAGCCCTCATTGACTGCCTCCCCAGATGGGCGGCAGCAGGCAGCTTGACTGCTCTGCCAAGACCCCCCATTTAATTTTTCTGCAAGGATAGGCAGTGGCCCAGGAGACGCACTTGGCCAGCTTATGGACCTGGTCACCCCATTTGAGGTCCATGCATTTCCTGAAGGTCTGAACAGAGGCTCTTTTGCTCCTGTGGCATGGTCACAGAGGCCCCTCATGGCAGCCTCTGTGTTCTGGTCCTGTTTCCCAGCTGGCAGCCATACAGATTAGGGGCCCCATTCCAGATAGGGTCTGCCCACGCTTGGTCTCTTCCCAGCTCCACGCAAAGAGCATGAGTCCCAGCCCAGAGGGGCCTGCAGTCAGCCGGGGGTACAGCCCCAGGGACCAGAGCAGGGGACGCTGCGGTGAGAACAGTGTGTGCTGAGGAGACCTCAGGCCACGGAGGAAAGCTGGGCCGAGCCCCTCAAGTTTCCCTGAGGAGACAGCAGTTAGAACGAGGTAAGAGGGCTCACCGGTCACTGCTGGCTTGAGGCTGGAGGTCAGGGCTGCACAGGGCACTGTGCCGTGGTCAGAAGCTGGAACCCTGGCTCAGGGGCCTGTGCCCTGAAGCCGGCCCTGCCCTCAGAGGGACTGCTGGGCAGAGAGGGTCTTTTCCCTCCATTCTGGGACCTTGCCTTAGTGGTCGTCTGTGCTTGAGATTAGCCTGAAAGTGAATGCAGCACACCTTGGCCAGGTCATACAGGGAGGATGCCAGCTGCAAACCTGGCCCCTCTCTTTGAATAAAAGGCCCTGCTCAGTGTCAGGGGCTGTGCCTTATACACCAGGTAACCCTCTTTCCACTCACGCATGCCCTGCTGCCGGATCTGGCCAGTTAGGGTGCCTGGTTGTCCTGACCGGGGCCTGGGTGAAACAAACCAACTCCTCAGATAGGAACCCTGGGCGTTCAAGAGATGTGACGCAACCTTGGCAGTTTGCCAGCACAACGAAAAGCCACTCTGGACTACGTGATCATGTTGAAGCCATCAGTTTGATGAAGAGCAGGTAGGTCCCTGAGCACTACTGTAAAGGGAACTCCTCAGAGTAGACCCTGCTGCCCACGCAGGCATTTGAGGCTGGGCACTATGCCGGCTGTGCTGGGGCCCCGGCCTGCAGCCCACGCAAAGGCTGACAGCTCACCGTGGGTGTCTCACCTGCCTGACCCTCCAGCATGGAAGTTCTCCTCCAAAGTCCAGTCATCACGGTGGAGCTAGAGGGTCCTGTCAAGCTATAACATCCTTGGAAAGGCACAGGGACACGCAGACAGCCAGGGCTGCCAGGGGCAGAGGGAGTGGGGACGCCTGGCCAGCCCAGGGCACAGCACCAGTGCCCCAGGCTTCATTCCCCGCCCAAGTTTCCAGCTGTTCTTGCTTTGCAATGTCAGCAACAGTTGTCTCCTCTCTGGGAGCCAGGAGGAACTCCAGCTAAGGAAGAAACCACCCTGGAGAAGTGTCTGGTGCCTCACTGCTGAGCATGTGGCCCTGGGACCGGCCATGCCTGAGCCCCGGGAGCTCCTTAGAAACACCAGGTCTGAGGCCCCATCCTCGCAGTCCACACTTCAGCGACAGGCCTCAGGTACCTGGGTGCCAGCGAAGGGTCAAGAAACTGGTTGCAGGAGAGCCTAGGCAAGTCAGTAGTTAGAAATAACAGCAAAATCAATTCCATTTCCATGCAGAGCAGCCAACAGAAAACCCGAAGTTCTATTAGGACATTAGAGTGAATCCAACTGGTGATGTGAGGTCTGGCTGTAGGAAATAATCCTTCTGCCTACACAGGAAGAAGAATATTGACACAGTTACACAAATTCAATGCAGTAATTACCTAAGCTCCAATGGTTTTCAAAAGATTTATTTTGGGGGGCCTGGCATGACTGCCTAATGGCTAAAGTCCTTACCTTGCATATACCAGGATCCCATATGGGTACCAGTTTGTGTCCCAGCAGCCCCAATTCCCATCCAGCTCCCTGCCTATGGCCTGAGAAAGCAGTCGAGGATGGCCCAAAGCCTCGGCACCCTGCACCTGTGTGGGAGATCTAGAAGAAGCTCCTGGCTTCATATCGGCTCAGCACCGGCTGTCGTGGCCACTTGGGAGTGAATCAGTGGCCGGAAAATCTTACTCTGTCTCTTGTTAAATGTATTTATTTGAAAGAGTTATGGAAAGGGAGAGAGAACTTCCATATGCAAGTTCACTGTCCAAACACCAAGATGCCTGGGCTACTCTGAAGCTGGGAGCCAGGAGCTTCTTCCAGGCCTCCCACTTTGGGTGCAAGGGCCCAAGTATTTGAGCCATTCTCTGCTGCTTTCCCACGTCGTTGGCTAGGGCTTGAATAGTGCCCATTTAGGATGCTGGTGCTGCAAGTAGAGGCTTAAGCTTTCTCCAGCACTGGTTCCTACAAGGGTCCTCAATTAAGCTAATTCTCAAAAGTAGCTAGAGGATGTACAATGGCATCCCACGTCAACGCCTGTTCAAATCCAGAGCTGCTCCTCTGCTAACGTACCTTGGTAGGCAGCAGTTGACGGTCCAGTTATTGGTCCTTTACCACCACTGTGAGAGATCCAGAAGTGCCTGGTCCTTCTTGGCTGCTGCAACCGCTTGGGGAGGGAACCAGTAGTTGAAGAATTGCACCTAGGGAGCAAGAGGCCCACATCCCTGGGTTCCTGCCACCCGCTCGGAGGCTCGCCTGACCCTGGCTGGGGGGAGCAGGTGGGGAGTCCTTCTGAAACATCATGACGGTGCTTTTGAGAGAGATGTTGCAGCCACACAGATCCACTCCCCAGGACACTGTATCTGTTGACATAACAGGGAATAGGAGGCAAGAAAGTGACAGGTGGACACAGTTGCAGCTGTATCACTCCCTGTGCCAAAAACTACAGTCCACATGATAACCCATACATTTAGAAAAAGCGCAGGAGGCTGGGCTGACCTGAGGCTCAGCCCCCACAAAAGAAACTAGGCCAATACTAAGGGTCAAACATCTTGGTATTTGAAACTGGAGTGTATAGAAGTGAGCATGAAAAAAAAGATGCAGAAAAGCCAAAGGTGTGACTGCGCAGTTCATACGGGCTGGATAGGCCAGAAAACTGCTGCGTCAGAGAGGGGTGTCAAAACAAGGCCGCATCACCGTGAGAGTGGCAAGATGCGGAAGCTCTGGGGGGGAGTGCTAATGAGGGCAGTCATTTGGAAGCAGCTTGGCAGGGCGGGCTGTCCCTGACTCATCCCGACCAGAACACGTGTGTGCAGAAGGCTGCACCTTCTGGCTGCTCCGAACAGCTTGGGCGACTCACCTTACCCGAGACTGCAGCGAGACTGCACAGGCTCTCCAGCGACATTGACGGATGTCTAGGGGACACCAGGCTAGCAGGCAATGGCCACACTGCTGGGGCCACGTTCTCAAGGACGTGGCCCCAGCACATATGAATGAAAGTGTATGTGATCCCTGGGGAACTGAGTGTGTGGTTGAATGGCAATATTGGAATTGGCCAGCAGGGGTCTTCCAGTGCCACTGGAAGTGGTGTGTCCATGGGAGACTGGAAGGAGAGGGAGGAAAGGCTTCCCGAGGAACAGAACCAGCCCAGGGAGGCCCTGGGGCATGCTGCTCTCTGCCCGGCTCTGGACCTCGGGCACTGTCAGCCACGGCACACAGTCCTACAGCTTTAAGTTCTAGATATTTCTGATCAGGTAAGAACCTTCCTGTACTCGAGCCTGTGGCTCTGAGACGCCCTCCAGTAGGACATGGGGAACACACAGACTTCCCCCTAGGAAACCTTGAAACAAAGTCAACACCTGTACTTGACTTCCGCCACACAGTGCAGCCCCAGTGAACTCCACTACCAGTCTGTTGAGACCCCCACCCCTGCCACCTGCCCAGACCTGATTCCAAGTTACAATTTGCACCTGGATGCATGGCTCTCCCTGGACAGGTCTAACCACTCACGCCCTGGGTGTTGCCATCCCACTGGAAATACACTCCTGAGCTGAAATCTCTTCATTTGCATATGGAGTCTGGAAGGAGCAGGCCAGGCAGGCAGGCACCTGTCACAGGGTGTGGGTAGGGAACGGAGGAAGGAAGCTTCTTATACCTGTCCTAGCCTTTCAGTCGAGCTGCCCACAAGAAACACTTGGCCTGTCACTTCTCTATAAGGATGTGTTTGGAAAAGTGAGGGGCCATTTTTCTGAGGCATGCTACGATCCGGAGAGCAAGTCCAGCAGGGAGGGCAGTGGCCACTTACCACAGCCTCCAATAGGCGTTGTCACCAGGCACACTGTTCCATTAACTCTGCTGGACAGGCTCAACTAGGTGATCTTGGCATGTTTCATGTGTTCTTTGCAAATCAAAAATAAAGCCAACTTCTGGTGAACAAGTGGCCGTGCTCTCCAGGCTCCTACCCTGAGTCCAGGACAGACTAGCCAATTAATGCAGCCAGCCTGTGGGTGTGGCCATGTGCAGTGAAATCGCGTCAGAAAATGCACAACTTACTCATGTGCAGAAGTAGGTGGCAAGGAAGAGCGCGACCCTGGCCTCTCCCACTCCTGGCTCTGGCACCTTCCGGGCTGTGGAGACGTTGACATCCTGCAGGGTGCTGGTCCCGTGGATGAGATCCTGGTGACGGATTCACTGAAGTCTTCCTTCCTGGTAACCAGGGCCCATGTGCATAATCCGAGGCCCCACCACAGTATAGGACCACCTTCTCAAGGATCCTGGGGAGACACAGGGGCAGTTTCCACAGGTGCTACTAGAAAGGCCAGAGGTCTAGTTGACCTCCAGAGAAGCCAGGGGTCACCATGGGACAGCAGTCGGCTCCCTCCAAAATCATCACCCAGCCTAGGGGAATCAAGGCAGAGGAGGTGGCAGTGTAAAACTGCTGCCTGCAACGTGGTTCATGTCCTAAATGCAACACTTCCGATCCAGCTCCCTGCTGCTGCTGGCCTGGCGTTGACCTGGGCCAGACCTGGCTATGACGGCCATCTAGGGCATGAACTAGTGGGCCCAAGATCTTTCCCCTTCCTTCAAACCAAATAAAAGTAAAACTTTAAAAAGAAGTCAATGCTAAGCTTAAGCATTCCTGGACCTGGCACGATAGCCTAGTGACTAAAGTCCTCACCTTGAACATGCCGGGATCCCATATGGGCACTGGTTTTAATCCCGGCAGCTCCACTTCCCATCCAGCTCCCTGCCTGTGGCCTGGAAAAGCAGTCGAGGTCGGCCCAAAGCCTTGGGACCCTGCACTCGTGTGGGAGACATGGAGGAGGTTCCTGGCTCCTGATTGGCGCAACACTGGCCATTGCCGTCACTTGGGGAGTGAATCATCGAATGGAAGAGCTTCCTCTGTCTCTTCGCCTTTCCAATAAAACAATGAATCTTAAAAAAAAGACAAGCATTCTTGAAAGTAACTGAGGCTTACAGCAATCCAAGGAACATTTGTTCATGTAAAACAGCTTTGTGTCATGAGAAAACAATGTCACGCTCACAGTGCAATTCAGCAGCCACCCAGGGGGCACACCAGGCCTGGGGTCCCCCCAAAGCACAAGCAGAAAAATCACCATTTTCACCACCCACCCCACTCTGCAACAACCCTCCATTCACAGGGCTCAAACTCCTTTGTCCTGGGGTGGGATTGCGTAGCACTAAGGTGTGGCGGGTTAACTGCTGCTTACAACACCAGCGCACCACGTGCCCTGCAGTTCCAGGTCACTTGCCCTCCAGCTCCTTGCCACGGCACCTGGGAAGGCAACGGGAGATGACCCGAGCACCAGTCGGCACTGCCTTTCAAATACATAAACTTTTTTTTTAAGCAGCAGTCATTGAACACTTAGTTGAGTAAAACAGCAATCTGAGGAGTGAGAGGCCCAGTCCCTGGGTACCTAGAACGCTCTGAGCGCCTCCTCGAGACCTTAGAGTGAAGACTGGCCATGCCGTCAGCTGGCAGCCAGAGAGCTGGAGGTGCGCCCCAGTTCACAGAGCCCCCCGCAGCAGCTATGAGACTTGGCAGTCTGAGGCATGAGAAACCTTAACTGCTAGCTGACCATCCACTCCAGCCATGCACGGGCAGTACTGATTGTCCACGGCCCCTCAGGAAGTCACAAACAACCACACCAACCCATCTGGGTACGGTCAGGATCCAGCTGCACAAGCCGCCACGTGACATTGGCTCAATAGTCCAATTTTCAACAATAAAAAGACAAACTGTCCACTACAGAGGAGAGAGGAAAAAGCAGCCTGAGAAGCCTGCTCCTGGCGAGGCCTGGGGTTTGGCCACAGCAGACAGACCTGCAGCGAGTGGCTCTGAATGTGTTAAAGGAGGGTGGCCTTGGCCTTGGCTGCCGGAGGGAACACCAAAGAGAGGACAGTTCATCCTTGATAGTCAAACAGGGCCCAGCACAAGAGTTCAACTGGTAGTCCCCCTGCACATGCTGGGATCCCACATGGGCGCCAGTTTGTCCTGGCTGCTCCACTTCCCATCCAGCTCCCTGCCAGTGTCCTAGGAAAGCAGTCAAGGACAGCCCAAGGCCTTGGGACCCTGCACCCGTGTGGGAGATCTGGAAGAGGCGCTGGGCTCCTGGCTTCAGATCAGTCTAGAGATGGTGGGAATGAAAGGGCCTGCCTTTTGCTTTGGGGAAACATTTATTAAAACTGTCCGTGCCTGCTTGGCTGAAAAATGCACAGGGCCAGGCCGAGAGTGCAGCCCAGATGCAATGCGCCTGCCCGCCTGCCAGCTCCACTCACCCTAGCTCAGCTCCCAGTGGCGAGCCACCCCCTCATTCCATCCTGGCCTCCGTCCACACGTGTGCAACCTTTGTCAGTGCTGGCAAGGGAGTGGCTGTCCCTAGTCCTAGCTGCCCTGCCTGGAAAGTCACACGGGGCGTGAGGTTGAGGGAGTGGAAGGTGTGGAGTCCCTGACTGTGCCTGCAGTTCCCCTGGCTGCACGTACCCAAGGTGAGGCCAAGTCTCATGTGACTTGCTGGCTGCGGGGAGCAGGAAGAACAGCACACAGCTACTGCTGACGAATGACTCACCACAGCCCACTCCTGGGCCGCAGACGGCCGCCGCTATGACCCGCACTGTTGATCAGGAATGTCAGTCACTGAACTCTCGTGTTAACCCTTCCTCAGTTGCTTCTCTTGGCTTTCTAGAACGTCATCACTGTAAACCTCAGTTCTGCCTTCACTGCACTAGAACCACAGGTTTGAAGGTAAAGCTCTAAGCGTCAGCCCTGCTGCCTGGATGCCCAGCTCTGGACAGCCACACCCTGCCTTTTGCTCTCCCCCGACCCCCCATAACTACTCCTCCCCTTGCCCTCCTGGGCTTGTGTGTGGCCTATACACTCCGGAACAGATGGCAGAGGAGAGCGTACACTTTCTGCCACCATGGGGACGAACTGACAAATTTCTCTAAGCAGCAGGATGGAACCCAGTTCTTGAACCAGAGTTAAAATAGCAGATTCCTAAACCAGTGCACCGGCTCAATTGGCCATTCCTCTGCCTGCAAGTGCCAGCATACCGTATGGGTGCTGGCTCGTGTCCCAGCTTCCAGCTCTCTGCTTGTGGCCCAATAAAGCAGTGAAGGATGGCCCAAGTGTTTGGGAACCTGCGCCCACATGGGAGATCCAGAGGAAGCTCCTGGCTCCTGGCTTCAGATCAGCTCAGCTCTAGCCATTGTGGCTAATTTGGGGAGTGAACCAGCAGATGGAAGATCTCTCTGTTTCTCCTTCTCTCTGTAAAAATGGTCCCTTCCAATAAAATAACCTAAAAAAGAAATCCCTGACCCTTACCTCTCAGCCCTGGAATCTGAAGTATTTCCCCCCTCTCCTACAAGATTTATTCCTTTGTAAGAGAAGAGGCATGGCGTGAGTGTGCTGCCATCTGCTGCTTCCCTGCCTAAATGCCCGAAGTGGCCAGTGCTGGGTCAGCCTAAAGCCATCTCCTAGGGAACGAGGGGTCGCCAGCCCAGCCCCCTGTGGGTGCCCCTGGGCATCCAGGAACACAGGATGGTGTCCAGAAGGACCAGGAGCATGTGGTCGGGTAGTCTGGGCAGGTGCTCAGGCTCTGGGCCTCAGTGCTTCTGGCTCACACGACGGTCACTGCCACGCAGCCCTTTACATCATGTGTCGGCTGAGCTGGGTGAGCTTGTGTCCAGGTGCCTGTCACTGGTGCATACATCCTCACTGGCCTACATCTCAGCCTCTGCAGGCCCTGGCACACCCCATATCAGAGTGCTGGGGGCCGGGAGTCCCAGCTCCACTCCTGATCACAGCTTCCTGTTCACGCGCACCCTGGGAGGCAGCAGGTACCCACCCAGGAAGGAGACTTATACTGAGTTCTCAGCTCACCCAGCCTTGGCTGCCACAGGCATTTTGGGAGTTTACCAGCAAATGGAAGGTCTCTCTCAAATAG